TGCGGAAAAGCCCTATGTTCTGTTGCAAACAGACATTGAGCTCTAGTTTCTATTGCTTTTATTCTGTTTGGCTTTCTTGACCCCATCTGCTTGATTTGAAAATTCAAATACTTTTTATATTATTCCGACATGTGGAAATGACATTTATTTTTTATTGCTTTAACTCCAAAATTCATCTTGTCGTAGCAACAAACAACTGAATATTCGCTTGAACAAAAATCATCAAATATTTAAATATTGACTAATGATTTAATCCAAATACAGCGAACTTGCAGTAACGCGTGCAAGGGTTGTCCTCAACCCATGTGCTCACTCCTCTGAAAGAAAATCCTCGACAGTGGGAAATCATGTTCTCTGCCTGTACTAAATTTAGAAATTGTAAATTCTAGGTTTTATTAATAAAGGGACTGACTGGACACAGATGTTAACTTGTAAAATCAACAGCATAGGTAAAGCTTTTGCAAATCTCCATCCAACCCAAGGATATGCTATCGTATTACAAAAGCCAAACCGCAAAACGAACTCATCAGTTGAGAAAATCATTGATGTCTTGCTTACAGCTGGCCCTGTTCCCGAACAGCAGGATAAACCACATTCATGCTGTCAGCAAGAGGAACGCGAGACATTAATGGTGACATACTTTTTGGAGACCTGTTGAGGGATAACGGTGGGACGTGGTGACACGTACTGTCTGCTGGGAAATGCAAGCGAGCTACTAATCTCCATTTAATGATTAGCGGAAGCCAGTCTGGTAAAGCTATCGCAGGATTGAACCACCAACGTTGTCAGGCCTAGGCACTCATTTACAACTGGTGACCGACTTGATAATGATATCAGCACTTTTACAGAGCACCGTCCAATGCTATTATAACCAACCCCATTTTGTAATCACTCTATTCCTGATCCTTTTATGAGTGTCTGAATTTCAACATAATTAAAGGCTTTATGTATGCTGTATTGCTTAAAAGTGTTAAGTTTAAAAAAATCTTTTTTCAAAAATCAAAAATGTCCGCTTTTTAGTTTTGTTAGAGGACTATGGCCTAACCATTGCTTGTTTTGTAGTGTTCACAAAAGGGTCATGGTAACTTGAATAGATGTAAGACTTGTTATTAAAATCAAATTGAAGATAGTTATTTACCACAAATGTGAATAAAAGCATAAATTCAACATGCAGGTATGCAGCCGACCACTTTCAGAAGTTGCAATCTCCATAAATCCTTACCAGCAGAAACACTCATCATCAGATAAAATCTCAGAAAAAAAATAAACAACAGATCAAAAAAAATTCCTCACTTAATGGCCTAAGCATTCAACAATATTTGAGTCCTTGTCTGATGCATAACATTATTCACAGCACCATGAGGGGAACTGGCACGTTTAAAACCTTTCACAAAACAATTTAACTTCAAGGCAAACAATTTCCCAGCTCAGTTCCTCTCCAGAGCAAATACCCTCAGACATCATTACTTCTCCTTTCCTGCCTCCTTAAAAGAAAACTTCCCTTTCCAAACAGTGTCTGCAGAATCCCACAGGAAATGTTTTCAGTTTTCATTCTATTAAAACAGCAGCCTGTCGCCAGACGTTTGGACCTCATTTGGACCTCATCAGAACCTTCTTTCCCTTCTGATTGTGACGCCGCTCACAATTTCCAACCCCCCCCCCCCCCCAAAAAAGGGGGGGCTATTCCGTTTCAAATAGAAATTCTAAACTTGGTAGTGTTTGTATCTGGTGCAACTGCAGAAAATGGCTTTCACCCAAGTAGCCTATCCCCCTCCCCCACCATATCATCAGTAGCCATGTAATGGTTCTCATTTCCTTCAAACCTGTCGCCCAACCCCATTCCAGCCTACACAAACGCTCCGAATATTCCAGAGGAAATTGACAGAAGTTTTCTTTAGTATCAGGCCTGTCAGCCATGTCTGGAACTTAACAAGCCTAAAATTAGCCAAATTATGCTGATAATTGATCCAAAAATTGCTCTTATCCATAACATGGCATGTTACGTGTGTTTAGTTTGGCAGTATTCTGCTTGTTTGTATTACTATATAGAGTGTATCATTTGTTATTTGTGGGGTTTTTTTCGTTTGAAGCAACAAAAGTGCTCAAAATCTAAAGAAGGGTGCTTAACAACTAACCTGATGAAGTTTTAGCTCAGTGAATGCTGTATATTCCGAGAAAACAATATTCTAGGATCTCGATTTCAATTCAAAAGTTGCAGAGTCATGTTTTGAACTGCGCCTGAAATCAGCGTCCGGGACACGTTCTCATTCAGCCGATTGCAGCTACGCGATGTCACACACTGAACTGAAGAATTGTAGTAACCGCGCACGCACGTGCGTCGTGTCAACGATTGAGTGCACTTATTCACAGCTTTGCCATATTAAAAACGAACTACATGTACTAACGGAAATTTCCAAAAATGGGCCTAATTTAGACCCATCATTGGAAACGATCTTCTGTTATTGTTTTTTCAAAATGACAGCTTGCCAGAAAGAGTAATTTCACAGGGAGTTTAGTGCCATTACTATCTTTAAAGCAAGTATGGTTTTCAACAATATTTTCGTCAGTTACTTTTTGGATAGCTGCAAATGATAGACTCTACCTTTAATCAACATGTACATGTACAAATGTATGTGTATATAATGGATGTGAAAGTAGGCAATACGGGTTTCTGCATCTCGGAAGCAAATATAAGAAATGTACATGTTCGCATGTAGGAGCTGTCATTGCATGTCAGTACCAGGACACCTGGTATCTCTTACAAATAAACCACTGTATAAATACTACACCCCTAACCTTGTTTGTCTAGCACGAACCTACCAAGGGTTAAGTTATCAAAACACTGCGTGTCTTCTGCATTTGCAGCCAGTGGACCCTTGTCAAGCACGTCGCTGCTTTATCAATGACATGAATGTGTACCAGAGTTTCAAAACCGGATGTCTGGTTCTGACAAATGTTCAGGCCAAGTTCGCTGACTTGTTATTTTTAGGGTCCAATTATCGCTAATGAACGGACCAACTGTTGCAGACGAACTGGTGGAATGTTTTTGCGGGGTATGTTAAGCATTTGCAGAACTTTCTCCAAGGACGGCAGAGTTGCATCAAGTTATTGATGATGAGTAAAGCAAATGTGAAGTGAAGTGCATGTACATTTGTAATGATGACACTTTTGTTGGAGTAAAGAAGAGAGTAAAATCTAAACCTCACTGGTAGCTTTCTCTTGGTCATATAAAACATTTTTTGGTATTCTGGTCACTTGGTTTTTGTTTTAGCCATTTTGACAATGTGAATGAAATGAAAGAGATTTGCAAATTAAATTAACTTCACTTGATATTATTTCCATCGCAAGGTAAAATGTCAAAATACATTTGTATCCACTTCAGTGAAATACAAAAACTAACAACAACAAAATTAAAAATCCTGGAGTCAAGGAAATGTAAAGCAGAGATTGACGGGACCCCGCAAGAAGCAAGGCTTGTCGAGCGTGAGTCCCCTGTATAGGTGTAACAAAGAACAATATGATAAACGGATACATCTCAAAGACAAAACATAAGAAGACAAGTATTTAAGCAGTGAACTGAGGGTGGAATTAATGTACATTAACAAAAATGCGGGGTTCTTACAAAAATATTGTATGGTGCCTAATGAGATTCTCCATGGTGTAAGGAATAGTTATAATTTTCCTAACAAATAAATTGAACATAAAATGCATGTTTTTCTACAAAACTTGCATATCTTTTCTACTCAAGCCTTCCGTCTTGTTATAGCATCAGGTCTACAGGTGAAGTTTTATTGGAATGTCCAAAGAGCGAAATGTTGGCAAAATGTTGTCAACATTAGCAAACCGTGCTTTTACTTCGGCTGTGCCCAATTTATGGAGTAATTTGCCATCTGATATTTGTAAATTGCACTCACAAAGTCTGCTCAAAACTATACTCAAAACTTTCCTTTGTCGGAAAGCATTTGGTGATGTGTGATGTGCTCTTAACCTCATTGGTTTAAGTTATTGTTTATCTCCCTGTGTACCTGTATTTAAACTTGTATGTTACACTTTTATTTTGGAATGTTGATGTAATTGTAATGGCTTCTGGTATTTGTATACTTGTATACCGGTACTTGTATCATATTTAATTAGGAATTTTAATGTAATGCACCCTCGAACAGGGCAGTCCTGAAGAGAGCACCATATAAGTTCAATAAATTAATAAGTTTCAAATACCTGTCTTAAATACATAGTACAGTGTACATTACTTTCAAAAAGTATCAATGTACAGATCTAGTACAGTGCACGTTTCCTATTCCCAAGCACAGTTGTTACACTGTACTAATGCTTGAATTCCAATGTCAAGACTGAATCTCTTACAACAAAACCAATAGGGCACATGGCAATGTGCTGACAGTCACATGAATGTTTTAAAAGCTCAAGAGTTTCAAGGCTTATAAGAGCACAGCCTTTGCTAAAGTCCACCAGACTCCTAGGGGTAATGGAGGAATGTGGTGGCGTGTCATGTTTAATGTGGCTTCCCAACAGGCACATGATAAGCTCACTGTGAAACAGAAATGACAGCAAGTATTTCATCTATCCCAGAGGAGAGTTCAATACATTTTCTCCTTAAGCCCCAACTTTTTGAGGGAATGTCATCATTAGGTTAAAAGCCCCGTTGACACTCTTGTTATTCAAGATGCCTAGAACATTTTTTTTTTTGACTTGAGGTTGAAAGTTTCATTTGAATTCCTGTGGCTCTATTATTACAGATTCAGGAAGTTGTGAGAATTCCACTTGATAAATGTAGATTCACTGCGCACTTGTCATGGCTGTTGGTCTTGGTTAGTGCAGGGCCCGGGGCAGTAGCAGTTGTATTTAATTTAACTCCATGTTCTAAGTTTGGGTTCAGCAACTTTTAGTAGTTTTTTTTTAAGCATAAGTTTGGAAGTAACCAAGGGGCAGTGAAGTTCAGTTTATAAGTTCTTGATTGGCTTGCTCACTTTGCGATGTGAAAAGGAAGTTCATTTAAACACACAGTGTACATTACTACCATTGTGTGGTTGGTAACAGTGAGTGTTTAGAGTGGTTTAAAGCACGCTCTTATAAATCAATCACCAAGTGAAAGTGTTGGCCTTGGGTGTCAAACCACTAAACCATGACACACTTGCCTGCCAAGTTCATTCACCAGTGACATGAATGTTAGGCTCTGAACAGGAGGGCATGTTCCTGCCTGAATCATACACCGCATGTGGTGAAAATAAATTATAGCAAGGAGCACGAGGAAGTCTTATAACGGCCTGGGCCCAATTTGAACATTCTTGTGACCATGGGTCCCTACAGAAAAACAGCTTTGTCCAACAATTAGAATGTAACGTCATGCCACTATTACATGGGTAGGTATTTTGGCACATTTTGCAAGTTCGTCTCAAACACCGCCAAGTAACTTGTGAAGGAATCTTGGACATTTGGCAAGGTTTTTGGTGAAGGGGAAACAATATTGCCAGGTTTTTCTTTAGGGTTTTGGCCATTTCTAATTTGTGTTTCTGTTTCTTTCTTATTATTGTCAGGACAAGTTGTGGCAAATCGCTGAAGTCTAAGATTTGGAAGCTGCGCTGAGAGACTGAGACTGAGGGATCAAGATATCGATGATCTACCATGGAGGGAAACAATAATCTCTTTATCATTTCACTGCTCCTGCTTCTTCTGCTCTCAGACAGACCAACAGAGACAGAGTCCGCATCAAGAGATCAAAACTCCTCCGACATCTGTTGCCCCGGTGAAGCAGGGATGCCTGGCGTGGACGGTTTCCCTGGTTACCCAGGACGGAGGGGGATGCCAGGCAGACAGGGAGAGAAGGGACAGCGTAGGGATGGAGAGAGAGGTGCAAAAGGGGAGCCAGGACCGGCAGGGATTAAGGGAGATCCAGGAGAGATGGGGCCTCGGGGCCAGGCAGGGTTGCTTGGACCAAGAGGTCCATTAGGGAGAACAGGGCCAGGTGGCGATCCGGGTTATAAAGGAGAGAAAGGATTCAAGGGAGATCCTGGAGAAGTCGGAGAAATTGGTCTGAAAGGGCTCCGTGGGTCTAAAGGGATTATTGGCATGGAGGGAGTGAAAGGGGAGAACGGGACCAGGCGGAAGGGTAGAAAGGGTCTGTCTGGAGATAGGGGGGAACCTGGCCCTGTGGGCCCCAAAGGCAGGATTGGACCAACTGGAATAGGGCCTAAGGGGCCTCAGGGAGAACAGGGTAAAAAGGGCTACACTGGTGATCGGGGAACGCCTGGTCCTGGCTTACCGAAAGCCGAGTTCATGGTTAGGAACATCATATCTCACAGCGCAGGAACCTTCCGAATCGACTACAACACCGTGACCAACATAGGCGGGTACTTTGACTACGAGGTGTCTCGGTACACCATTGGGGAGTCAGGGACCTATGTGCTGCAGATCGCCACTAATTATATCGGTGGACGGTTTCAGATGATGCATAACTACAGCCCACTGATCACAGGGTCAGGCTTCCTACTGGCTATCAAGGACTGTCGAGCCGGAGATCAAATATGGTTGAGAATTGAAATATCAAAGGTTTACTTTGAGAATATGGACTTTTGGCTCTCGGGTTACATGCTTTACAATCTTTAGTCAGAAATCTAAAGAAAAAAAATACTTACTACTTTATAAAATACTTACTACTTTTAAAAAAAAAATGTAAAATCTTTAATAAATCACCGGAAAATCTTATACATCTTATACATGATAGGTGAAAAAGTCTTGAAGAAACATTTGGAAAAAAAATGTTTACAAATGTCTTCCCTTTCATCTTCCAGAAAACAGACCTTTTTGTCATTGTTGTCATTGTACATATATCCATCACCAACATTTTCAGGCATTTGGTTTTGGGTAATTTAGTCAAATAGATGGGCAGTTTTTTGGCAGTTAAATGTCAAACTGCTTATGATGAATATTTAACTTTGCAAAAATAAAAATGCAATACGAGCATTTTGGCTACCTGTAAACATTCTACCAAAAGTAAAAGTAAAAAAAAAAGGGGAAAGTCCACGAGGAACCACACCCAACCAGACTGAAACTCCAAATCCATGTCAATCCACGAGACGAGACAAGAGATTGTACAAAGACAGCCCCTCCGGCATTCAGTGTCGTTTGCTACAATGTTCTAAGTGCAAGATCTAACCCTCTCCAAGAGGGTAATAGAGATCAGAGCGGGACAAAGCCACAATTTAAGTACAAACTAAAGCCTATGACCAGTTTTCACAAAACTTTGAAAGTGGGTTTAACAATTGAGTTACTGTGTGCAGGTCACGGTCTTGCTCTGAACATTCGGTACAATCCAAACATCTCTTGGGGTCATGTTGCTTGGAAGAGGAATTCTAAGATGCTTGTGGAGCCAAGCCACGGCAGATTTATGACTTAAAGAGAAGCCCCTACACTCTTACAAGGAATGTAGGAGTTCATCCAGGGGAAAAAAAACAGCATATTATACAAATAATCCAGGCCAGGGTTAGGATTTTTATTACAAATGTAAACATGTGCAGCCATTCCAGACAGATCATTAGCCTGTTTTGCCTTGGTTGTGTTACAGTAAAACTTTTCTCAGCAGTAACCTTTTCAGTTTATAAATCTACTTTGTGAAAATTTGGAGGAAAAAAACAACTCTCCTGCACTGGAGTGTGAATTTGGTAATGGACAAATTAATTTCTCTGGAATTACTGATTTAAAAAGTAAACTATGAGTTGGAATGGGTAGGCCAAATACCCCCTCTGCAGTTACATGTATTTATTACTAAAAATTAATATTTTGTATTGATTTGATTTTTAAATCAGAGCATAAAAGTTAGACCATATGTAAATATATTTTGAAATTGTAAATGTTGTAAAAAGACAAAGTTGTAGTGTACGTATCCATATTTCTATCTGAAATTCAGATACAAATGTACATGTATTAATCCTCAAAGCAAAATTATAACTTTATTAAGTTAAATTGTCCTTTGTTGCATAAAATATGATTTCATTAAATGAGAGCCCAGAAACCAGAGCTGAAGTTGTGACAACATCTGTCGAAATTTCCAGACATAAAATGGATGCTACAATGTACATGTCACGTGTGTCCTGATGCGTGTATCCACTGGCCATGACAGAATGAAATTAGAAGCCATTACGTGTCCGTGAAAGGCTTGTTATCAAAACTCTATCTGTGGCTCTGTGAACCTGAAGGAGGCCCTCTGTTGACAGCAATGGGAGAGTTGTTGAAAAAAACTGATAGCCAATAAAACTTAGAACCTATTTATTCAGCTAATTAACAAGATTGAGCCCATTCGTTTCACATTTCATGATTACTATTTGATTTTCAAATCAATTTGTTACATTTTCAATTGCTGGGCAATTCCACGCAAAAGTGGAAAATGTAAGAAATCTTCCAAACTACAAGCATCACAACAATAAACGTGGTGTCAAATTAAAGGGGACAACAAGATCTTTCATTTGAGTGGTGTGCCAATGGCATGGAATGTAGTTAAGTGTCATTTGGGGTAAAAAAAATCCTGTTTTTGGCTAAAATCATGGATTTTCTGGTAGTCATATATTTTTGGCACCTTGTTTTAACATGCAAAATGGGAGAGTTATTGTGACTTTTTGTGTTTAGACAGAGAGAAAGGTTAATATATTATTAAAAAAAATAGTTCCATTATGGTGCAGAGCATCGAATTCAGATTTTATGCCGTGCTAGAAACTGTGAAGAGGAAGTAATATGAGTGATGTAACGTGAGTGATGGTACCTCCTTGTAATCTAATGTCCCTTCAAGTTGCATCTAAAATACACACTAATTTGATTCAAAATGGGCTTTTATACCTAGCTGTGGGTTGAATGAAAGGTAAAACAATGTTACTGTGTTGCAGACTACAGTTTGAGGAGACTGTAACAACAAAATTGCATGAAAATTGTCCATGCCTTTTTTTTTTGTAATGTGAATGAATGGACTGAACTTTTCTTTCCATTTCTGAGTACACAATTACCCTAAGGTTGCTGTATGGCTGGTTTGATTCAGCTTGATCAAATCAAGGATCCTAGACACCAGGATAAACGACTGTTCTGAGCTCTAGTACAAAATGCACTCAGTGGACTTGCCTTAATTGGTTAGACGCGTGATAACGGGCATTAATACCCGTTGGCGCGTAATCGCACATTTTCCAGATGTGCCATTGTGTTGGGTTTTTGCACGACATCTAAAACGGAAATATTCATAAAACCGTTTACCCAAATTTCCTTTTTAATTAGGCTTTTATTAAAAAGTTTTAGAGAGATAGGATGCCAAACCGATGAAACAAAAGCGACATTTCATTGTTCATCTTAAAGCTAAAGATATTGTGCTTGGCATTACCATGGTTATGTAGTTATCACTTATCAGAATTCAATAATAAAGACCAAAAAACGTAGACTCATGAATATTCAAAAATATAATTCGCTGGCTTGACAGACTTCGAGGCCAGATCGGGCGAAGAGCCTTGCAAATCTGAAAGCCACCGCGCGCAGTGGTCTTTGTTGACAAGTATTCATGGTATTTGCCACCAGTACAGGCCGTTATCACGCGTCTAACCAGGAGTTGGGCCGAGTCGTTAATCCTTGTGTGTAGGATCCGTGATCAAATACTTTTAAAGCAGTGAGAGGTAAAAAAAAAAACCTCATGGCATAGTAATGTGAGTGACGGTAGAATTGCCCTGGTAATGTACACGTACCTTTCAGATACACAGTGTTTCTATGCATTAATACAAATTGATTTAATATTCCATTAATATTATTTATGTAGATGTAAATAAGATTTTCCCTAACTTGTAAATAATATTGATAACAAAAACATATTTCAATACAATGTATACCTCTCTATGCAAAGTAAAACATAATGTTTTTTGCAAAACATATAAAACGTGTGTTGGTAATACGTTTTGTTATTTAGCTCTAGGAGGTGTTTTTTTCATATATATGTAAATGTCAATTGCAATACAATTTCAGACTGAAGCATAGAAGCTATTGAGGATAACAGTGTGGGCTCCATACACACACCTTACCCTACACAGATAAAACTGCAAAGCATTTCTCAGCTGACTGTTGCTTTGAAAGAAGAGTTGCTATACATTTCACAGTGCAACTTAACGACACAATGTCCTGGTATACATATATGTGAGACCAGTTTGGGCCTTAGTAAGACCTTACAGACACAAGAAAGTAGATTTCAACCAGAGCCACACTGCTTTCATTAGACTGCTTTTCACTACAAAGTTGAATTATGGGGTGTTCTTTTTTACATTTTTTCAGATGCAGATTTCTCAAAATTGGGGAGACATGTTGAAATTGTTTGAAGATATTCCTACACTACAATATCTTGGTGGCATATGGTAAAAAAAAACACCGTTGAAAAAATTTACAGAAATATGGTCAAAAATAAGTTTGTCCAAACGCAAGTCTATGAGACAGTCAAAACAATAGCACGCACAAAGAACTGCAATAACGATGACCATTAATTTTTGATCACCCTGTGCATCCAATGTGGTACAGTCGACTCTCAATACAAACACTGTTAATACAAATTCTGGTTATAACAAACAAAAGGCCTTGGTCCCGACTGAATTTATGTGCACAATGAATGCGACCATCGGTCTTCTTAATTAATACAAACATTCTGATATAACAAACATTTTGGGTAGGTCCAGCTGAGTTTGTATTAACGAGAGTCGACTGTACATCTATTCCGTGTTTTTTCTTCAAATTGCACAGCAAATTTTAACATCACAAACAATAGCCCTTATGCGTTGCGAGTGTCTCAGAGGGTATTCTTTATTATTTCGAATTACTAAAAATGAAAGCACAAAAAGTTTGTTCATAACTATCCTGGTGATACCAAACCATTGCCCTCTGGTTCCACTTTAACGCATAAGACCTCTGAAGAGATTAGGCCTGACTTACCTTGATGAATGCCTGGAGTTCTGCATTCTGCGCCTGGATCTTCTTGAGTTTACCCTGCGCTGCTTCCAGGGCCTGCTCCGTCTGTCTGGCCAGTTGCTTCAACTGCTGTCCAGCTGTCACTTCTAGCTCAGTCGAGACGGTCTCTGCTTCGGCCAACTTGATGTGAGCGTCTTGTAGAGACTTCACCTGGAAAATGCCCATGACAATATCAAGAGTCTCAAACCGCTTAATTATTACCCCTCTCCATCAGGCCATGAAGCCAGTTTCAGCAGCCTGAGATCAGTGCACCTTGGTCTATACCCTCACAGGTACCCGCCCACTTATAGGTTGGGGTGGGCTGACGTCATCCAATGAAAAAATCTATTCAGTTGCACACCATTTTTTATCAGTTGCTATTTGTTACAATTCAGCAGTCCGGCCTCAAATACCACTGAGTTTCAAGACCATAGGTCTGGAAGCTAGATAAAGCCAATGTAAACAATTCCTGCCTGTCCGTGCCCACTTATACTCCTGGTTGGAGGCAATTGTGATTGTCACAAAGTTGAAATTAATTTAATAGAAGGAAATTACACTTTTAATGTAAATATTTGAGACACCTGATTTTCAAGTATTAATGTGGCCAAACTTCGTTGATGCCTATTTGGCTTTAATAAGAGAAAGTGAAACTGTCTTGCCCAAGGACGCAAACACTGTGTTTCCCATCAAGGTTTTGAACCCACATACCACCACACACGAGTCCTACACCTAGTACTACCTACACCACAAACATTGATGAACCACATGGTCTTGGGTCAAGATATTACTGTTGAAGATAGGCGATAAACCACCGCCGCTATAACCTAAAGACAAACCGCTATCACTCACGAACCGCCACAAACAACATCTTGGGAATCTTGTAGTGGTTGTGTGATGCTCGCGCACCTCTTTGGCCTAATATATGCAGCGCGCATTCAAAACCATTCTTAGTAGTTCCGAACCAAAGTCTTAAATTTCTTCCAGTAGTATACAAGATGCAGCAAGACTTTTGTACAACTTCACTGAGCTGTTCTTTTTGTGATATTTAGTATGCATGGGACTGAAAATGGACCGTAATTGCCTGGCAGAAGTAGCGCATGCTGACTACTTTCCCCAATGTTTCACTGGGGAGATTTTACAAGATTCCCTAGCTGTTGTTGCTGGCGGTTCGTGGGTGATAATGCCCGCTCGTGGCAGGTTATCACAGCGGCCGATTATTGCGTATCAAACTACAATAACGTCTTGCTCTGCTAGACTATGAACCACATTGTTCAACGTAAATATCGTAGCAAAACTGTATTTGTTTCAATGAGATAGTAAGCAATAATACAGAGCAAAAACAGCTTTGCTTGATTAATATTGTTACAGAATTCCACAAAATCACATTTTGAGAGGTAAGTAGCCCATGATCCCGGTTGTGATTGGTCAAAACATCACAGAATCAGCATATTGGATTGGTCAATCAGAAATGACTTTTGATGGAAATCTTTTAGCTGTCATACCTTCCTGTCCAGTTCTGTCTTGCATTTCACGTACAGCTGCTCATAATGCCGTTTCTCCTTGGTAACGGTGGACAGCTGTTTCCTGATGGAGTCAATCTCAACCCGCTTCTTTTCATTCAATTCTGTCAAAGCTGAGATCTTCTCCTCCAATATTTCCTGCAAATTTCCAAGTATGAAAGTGTCAATCTATTAGTATAGTTCTAGTTCTTAAGGATTCCTCTAATGTGACTAGTATTGAGCTTTATTAAACTCATGATCTTCAGGAAATGGGTGGACATAATGCAATGAAGAATGAACAATTTTGGAATCTACTAACGTGATGAATTTTTCGATTTACCCATTAGTGCAGACAAGAATCGGGCATGCAACTGGGAATTTTGAAAAAACGAGGAAACTCCAAACCACTGAACACTTTGTACAGTATTTTTCAATTTGTAATTGCATTCATGAGAAGTAAAAAAACGAGGAAACAGTGGATCCGAGGAAAAATTTCATGCCTGAAGAATGCATTTGCGAGTGGACGAGCGGCAGAAATGGAGCTAACATTTCACCAAGTACCAATAACGTTTTTTATCTTTACCACTGAGTGTATAGTTTTACAATTGAGTCCATATTTGTAGGAACAGTTCCTGATGAAACAATGACTGCTGTTTGCTTACCGTAGCACGTGTTGCTACTTTGTTATCACTGTCTATGGATCTAGCTCGGGCTTTCAGATCTTCTATCAACGATCTCTTCTGGTTGATGTCTCTGTCCTGACGACTAACCCTAAAAAACAATATAAAAAGTCAGGATTCAAATCACTTGTATCAATCAATTCTTTACTCAAAAAACGTACACAAACTATAAACATTTCATTTTACAGGGGGACCCAATTACACTTATCCAAACAGATCCACACAATGACGTTTTGACCAATCATAACCCTAACTGTCCAACCGAAATGTCCAACAAAAGTCTGATAGAAGGATGGAGTTATGCATGACGCTCATGGCTGGAACATGAGGTAAGACTTTGGGGTGACACACATCGATGGTGTTTTCACAAAGTGACAAAAACCTCTAATCCTGCAATAAAGGTCATCCCAAGATAATCCCATTTGAAATTAATCCTTTTTTCAAAACATATTTTCGACGAAATCGACGACATGTTGCAGTCAACATGCGAAGGGGACAGGACTTAATCCGAAATACTAAAGTAGTTCATAAAAACTGACAGAGAATTTCAACACCACAATTCATTACAGCTGTCATATATTGTGATGGCAGCGAGTGCAAGTTTTTAATAAGCCTGGTTATTTAAGGATAAAATAAAATAAAACAAAAGTCATTGGGCAGAGGATGCAGTATAAATGTTACCCACTTTTCTTGGAGGGATTTCACAGTTGCATCTCTAGCTTCTAGGTCCATCTTGAGAGATTTGATGATATTGGCTTGACGAGACATCTCACCTGACTGCGCCTGACAACAAAAACAGACAAGAAAAAATCTTAACACTAAAATTTCCCCAAATGTTCATCACAACCTAGAATGTAATAGAGGATGAACGTTGACCCCAAAAGCCTAAAAGATTTTACAGGAACACATTAAATCCGCATCTACAACGTAAGTATTGTTTGTATTTAGTTTGTGTCCTGTGTAGGTTAACCAGTCAAGAGCAATAGATAGATTTCCTTCAAAGGAAGGAAATCACTGCAATTTTCAATATATTGAGAACTTTGCAAATTGATGACAATAAAAAATAGAAAACTTGTGATCTCAACTTCTATTTAACCCCTTGACGCCGGCTGATGGCGGTGGCGGCAGCTCAATGAAGGGCCATGAGCTGGGAAACGCCCTGGCCGAGTTCTGCTGCAAGGCCGCATTCATTCATGGACAATAGCCAAATACCTGCACGTACACATTCCTATCAAAGTGCAGCTGTCCGTGGCCTAACAAGGGGTTAATCAATCATGCAGATAACAATTGAGTAAATCCTAACACAGGAGTCTGTGACTGGACTATTTAGACAGTGTTTGGTAACAAGACACAAACATTAACAGTGAACGTGAACTGGCAAGACTTGCAATTTCAACCTTTAAAGATTGATCTTCCTTCTTTATCTGAATTCTCAATCTCATCTGACACAGTTCCAGTTATGCACCTCATTGAAAACTACATGGCTGAACACAATTTTTGTTTGTGATTTTGTGATTTGACCTGTTACAATGGGATTGTGAATTGACTTGGGATTTGATTTGTGATTGTTCAATTACAACTCTGGTTCTGGCCCTAAAGAGTAGGCTAAGACCCCGTTCCCACTTGATCCACCAATTGGGGGATCTGATCCACCTTTTGCCAAATTGCCGGATCAGATCCCCCAATTGGTGGATCAGATCCGGCAATTGTGTGTAGTGGGAACGCTAACCGTTATAAGGTGGATCAGGATCAGATCCACCTTTTCTGATCCACCTCTGGACCAGGATACAGATCCCCCAATTGGTGGATCAGATCCGGTAATTGCCGGATCACGATCAGATGGGAACGCAAAAGGTGGATCTGATCCGGCAATTTGACCTGTTAACATCCGCCCGGTGCACGAGTGGCGCGAAAATGTTGCGGTCTCATGAACGAAGAAACACGTTTTCAGGCGTGTAGCTCATGTGAACATTTCCAGCGTATACAACATGCACAATAAACAACCGCTGAACTACGGGCTAGCACCGCGCATGCAAAAGCGCACGTGGTATCCTAAACTATACTATATAGGCCTTATTTTTGTTGCGTGTTCGTCCATTACTAAACCTTTTTCATTCCTGAAATTTTACTTATTTTTCCATCCATAAATGACTCTGAGTCCGCACTCACCAAAAGACTTCACTTTGGCACAGAATCATGGAAAAGCTTACGAGTATGCGATGAGAATAGTGCCGATAACGCGGTACGTACGGAGGTGACAAATCTGAAGTATTGATTATAGAAAATTGGAAATTGATGTCGTAGTACATCTTGTGACCATTTCTAACCAATGAGAAGCTTCAGAACCAGGGAATCCCTTATCGATGCATTGGTTTCTGCCGTGATGTCACACAATTCACCTGTCAATTTATGCACGCACGGATCCTCTACGGATCCGTGATTTATGTTGGTGAATTCGCGTAATTTTTGTCGGTGAATTCTGATAGTGCTATTTGAAAACTGACCCATCCTGGCCTAGCATGCAACCATGCAACAATGGCACTCCCACAGAGCGCGCGTAATTCCGAACTCAGTGACCTTTCGGACCCAACATTTCCGTACGAAAAGGTGGATCAAGCATAAGTGGAAACGCGACTTGCGGTTTCGTTGCGGTAAGATAACGATCACACCAAAATGCTGGATCTTGATCCACCTTTTCCCAAATCAAGTGGGAACGCGGTGTAAGTCAAAAAAAAGTACCCTTTTTGTCTGATATGTAACACCATGTTTTCTTCAATTACATAATCACCGTAAAGACAAAACTTCTTGTGGGTATTCTCCTTGCAGATGCCCAACAAGTACAGTAGAATAAAAAAACACTGAAATCCATGACTATCTTACAGGGTTAAACATTTGCTACTAATGGAACATAGCGTGAGCGAATTTTTGGACTTGCCCAGTATTTGAAGAAAATTTTTTTTTTTCTGATATTTCAATTTTGATGTTCAGATTTGCATAACTGGACCTCTCGTTCATAAAACCTCAAAGATGGCAGATAGAAGAATGTAAAGAGTCTATTGAAATTTAGATAACATTGGGGTCAATGAATGATGTCATTGATTATAATTTTTTTTTTTTTACTATGTTCCAACCTTGAGCCTGATTTCCATCTGCTTGCGTTCGTTCTCAGAATGTCTCTTTGATTCTGTCTCTCCGTCTTCAAGCTGCTTCTCAAACAGCGCCCTCTGTCGGTTGCTCTCCTCCAGTTCACCTGTTAGTCTCTGCAAAACAAAACAACAACATATGGAAGAATTTGTTTTTTTCCTTGGGGTATAGGGTATAGCATACCAGTGCTTTCCATGGCCCATGACAGAAAACATTGCAGACTTGCTCATGTAAGTGTTCAACTCATGACATCCTCAGGTGGGTCTCAAGAACACTCTTAAGGAATACAAGAGGGTTCAATTGGAAGTTCAAACTCAATTCTCAAGTGTGATCTTGAAGTCAGAAGTGGATACAATTGGAGTTGGAAGTGGGGATCTTGAAGCTGAAATACCGAGACTGTGAGGTAACAAGATAACAAAGTTACATGTACCTGTTCCAGGGAGTTTGGAGCAAGATGACACAGCAAGTTAGCACCAATATAAAAAATAAATAGCCGCTCATGTTGCAATATGTCGTTTTTATTAACCCTGCCCATGAAAACATTCCACAGACCATCTCCGTTCCCTGGGGAGTATACAGCTCCGATGATGCCACATAGGCACAATCAAACACAACCATCTCTGCGCTCACGGGTACCCATTTACTCCTGAATGGGGAGAAGAAATTTGTAACACCGACCTATTGGGTTCAATGCACTACAACACAAGGCCACAGCAATCAAAGGGGATGGTCGAAACCTTTGCTTCATCTCTGACTTAAGGAACCCTTAGGTACTTGACTTGGGGGACTCCAGATCAACATAGCCCATGCACTGTGTCAGAAACATCAAATCATCTAATGTTTAACGAAAGTACGAAGCATTTCCATTTGATTTAAACAATAATGGTTTCCCAATGATTTTTAAGCAAAGGATGAATCCGATAGTGGAGATGGAGCAGAGGTCCTCCTCACCCAGGACTTGATGTAAGCACCTACCTGAATGGTTTGTCTTGAGATCTTGAGTCGTTGATTAGAGAGGTTCAGATCTGACTGTAGCTGCTCTGTAAGGTCTTCCTGTTCACTCACAGTCCGCTGTAAGGATGTCTTAGACTCCTTCAGCAAAGACATCTGGACATCAAATGACAAAGAAAATGACAGTGAAAGTGGCAATGACAATGACAGTGACAATGTCAATGTCAATGACAATGATAACGTCTGGTGACAGCAACAATGACGGTAACAATGATGGTGATAATGACATTGACAATGACAATGGCAACGACTGGTGACAGCCACAGGAACAATGAAGGTGACAATGGCCGTGACAATGAGATTGACAGTGACATGATCATGATAATGACATAGGAAGATGGCTGTAAAATTGATTACAAATGGACCGAATCACATCTGTTTACAAAACTGAATGTTTGGTCACGGGACTTTGACTTGTTTGAAATATGGAGGAGTTTAATACATGTTAATGTGTGACAACTTCTGTTTGATGTGGGCCAAAATAATTTGAGAAATGTGGGTGTTTGTTTTGCCTGTCGATTGCCTGTCTGCATGACGTCACAGATGACATTGTCTATAGGCTGTTATAGACTGGCAATGACAATGACAGTGACAATGTCAATGACAATGACGATGGCTGTCATCAGGCATTTTAGTCACACCCTTTATGACTGCATTCATACAATTTCACAAGTACATCATGGGTGAAATTTGACATATAAACTCTACTCTTTCCTGGGTCAGGCTCGATCACTACCTTGACAACGGTCCTAATGATGCATTACACGTACATTTAACACACATGACCCCAGACAGCAATTTTACATCATGCTTTTAACCAGTTTATGTTTGGGTTTTGCAGTATTCGGAACGGATGACGGATAAACACGCAGGGAGCGAGGCCAGAAATATGTGTCGGTGGCCCGCTCACAGCGAGCAAGGCCTGAAATATCAGGGTGTGCTACCCACAGAGACATCCCATCTGGGATCGAGGTTCGTGAAAAACAATCCCACGCCTGGGTCCGGTCACTGTGAAAAAAATCCTAGCATGAACTGGTTAAGAATATTTTCACATATTTGTACCTGAAAATGGTTCACTGCCTTTCAGCAGACTGTCACCACACCAGTTACAACTGCAGTTGTGCTTGTTTTTGCTTCAAAGAGGAGAATCAAGCCAATTATGAAACGGATTCTCAACAGCCATAGTAAACCCATGGTGTTCACTGAGCCGTTGCAGTGTGCATGAACAATAACCATGGTTGCACTGAGTGAACTTCTGAGTGACATGACTTCACCAATATACCCCTGTCAGTCAGGGATCACGGCCCAGGAGCAATGAGATGTCCACTGACTGTCACACAGGGGTATTCCAAACGGCATGACGGTTGACTTTCTCACCTGTTGTTGAAGTGAGGCAACTCTCTGCTTGAGGCTGGCAATGGAGGGCCCACTGGCACCTGTCCCATGGGACCTACGGCTGATGTTACGAGCCAATCTGGTCAGAGGAACGTGAGGTGAGGTACCAACATCTCTCAGTTCTGTGTCTGGGGGAAAAAAGGAAATGGTGGTAAATAAGGGCTAGGGCTAGTCACCTTAGCATGTCAATGGCAGACAACCACAGTCATGGCCAAGAATGCCGGATTTGGGAATTTTGAAATTTGGACATTTCGTGTTAAGGCCGAAGGCTGAGTGGCATGTGACACACAGAGGCAATACATTTCCCTTGTTCTACGAGCATGTGTGATCTGATACACCGTGCCCTCTGGAGACATGCACACAATAGGGAACAAAAGATTGTATACGTCTCCACAGGGCAATTTCTCTAGATGAATAGTCTCCACAAGGTTTTCACGAAAAATATATATTGATTTTACTCAAAAACTAGGAATTTCCAAGGTATGCTGTCGCAAATGGAAGAGTTTTAGAAAAGGGATATTAAGTCTGAATTTCAGCCAAGGAAATTAATTCTGGTTAAATAAGAGCATTTCGAAACTACAAACTCGAAAACTTTACTACACGAGAACAAAGAAATGTCTCCACAAGGATGCAAATTCCAGTATGTGTGGGATAAAGCATTCATCTTCAAGCAAACCCAACACACAGTAAAAATGGACCATATGCATGCTGTTAATGTCAGCTTTAATTCTATTACATGCACACCTGCATGCAGCCTGCAGGAATAGCGCGCATCGTAGAAATGTGATACACATTGCAGGCCTGGATAATTTGTTGATGACATGTCATTGAATTATTGGTCCCAACCAGCGGATCTGGCTGCAATGCAGTTCCATGCCATGTTAAATAGAAGTTCCGTTGTACGGTCACACTAGTGACCAATCAGGGCCCAAATTCACGGCGCTGCTAAGCACACAATTTTCTGCTAACAGAGCCTTCATCTATTTCAAGGAGACCGTAAGCAAAAGCACAGCAAAAGGCTTACTTCGGAGGAAAAATTTGCTTAATGCATTGACTTAACAATAGAAATCTCCATGCCATTCAACCGTTAGCACGTCCACGCCTTGAAATAGTGCTTAAGGTTAGCAAATTGTTCTGCTATGCTAAGCACAACTTTTCCGCTAACTGTTAAGCAGCGCCGTGAAATTGGGCCCAGATAACATGGACCGTAGAAAACAAATAATGAACGTTTCACATTCGCATGCAATGGAAAGAATAATTTAATTCGGTGAAAAATTGGACACCTCATGAAATTATTCTTACTATTTCACTCATAAACATCATTCATTATTTGTACAACGCCACACTGTTGTTGGCACGGATTGACCAATCAGGATCGAGGATTCAAACTTGCTTGAAAATAATGGCCGATACGAACTAAAAACAAGAAATCTTAGGCAAAAAAAAAAAGTCTCCGCTTGCCCAAAAAGTGGTGCGGCGACACGGCTTTTTTTTTTTTTACCCGATTTCTTTTGCCTCAAATGTCGGCTGATGACTGCAAATGGTGCCCGACTAAACTTAGTGCAAATATATGGGAGTCCAGAGAGGCCACATAAAGCTTATTCTCGATCATAACCCCATCCAAAAACACGTTAAAATTGTGCAGCAGCAGGATTCCAGTCAAACCAGTGAGTTTGGTGGTTTTGAGACATCATCTTTCATTGAAAAAAAAAAACTTTTTCATTTTGCCGACGCGCATGGCTACGGCGACGCGCGCATACCAGAAACCGAAGACTTGGGGGGGGGGGCCTTATGGATCATTACCAGATTGTTCTGTGAGTGTGTTGTCCGTCATAGTGCTGCAACTAGCTGTATTATTTGATGAGGCAGTACTTGCTACATCATCATCCAGGAGATATTCACCAACTCCAGTATCTATCATACTAGCCTGAAGAACTAAAAACAAGAAACAAGACAGAAAAATCAAAACTTGTCAGATATTTTTTTTTCAATTTTGTTTTTGTGATTCTTATCAGAGACATATTTGGAAACTTTAAAAAATGTGGCCAATGAAATATGCAATACTGTCCACACTTTCTCTGTCAAAGTTATGTTTTCACCCTACATTATTAGTCTATGGAACATTAAAAAAAAAATCCACAGATTGGATAAAGTAAGTTAAATCTTACTTTTACCAGACATACAGGCACTAAATTATCATTTGTTAATATTTTTTTGCCATCCAGATTGTTCATATTCAAACTGTACAAGTTGTACTCTTTCTAGGATAGTTGTAGTGAGAAACAAAAACAAAAAAACAACAAATAAATACATGTAGAAAATTATATGACCCAGTAAAGCCGGACCAATCCTGCACAAATATTAACCACACAATTTTGTTAACACACACCCAGAAAAAACGACAATGCTCTAGTTTTACTTAGGGGGATTGAAAGGAAAGAACCGACCAAATGTGATAAAAGCAAGGCGTGTGTGTGTGTGTGTGTATGTAAACACCGGCAATCGTGGACGTAGGACAAAAGAATTGGGATGCAAACAATACGTCCACGATTGACCGAACGTCCACGATCTCAAATCATGTCCACGATTGCCGGCATTTACACACGTGGGTGTTCCTGCATGGCATTACGCCTGAGGACAGACAACAAAAGGAGCACAAAGGGGCCATTGATCCTCGAAGGAAGGTGCCTATTGTCCTCGAACGCAGGTTTGTGTGCTTAGTCTATGGGAGAGTGTTATATTACAGGGACAAAGGAAAACACAAAGCCAATCCTCGGAAGCATAGCAAAAAACGACTGTGTGTGTGTGTGCGTGTGCATTTGGTTCCATCTGGATTGTATGTCCATGTATGTCTTGAACCTTGATACAATGAAGGTAGCTTGCTAGTATAACTTATAAGTTTGGACCCAATAAGACAAAGGCCAAGGTCATTAGGATTAAAACAATAGATTTTATTTTATTTTATTTGATATTTTTTTTTTTTTTTTTTTTTTTTACCAAACCAGTATGCATGTGCAAAAGTAATCACTGAAATATTAGGGGGCCTGTACACTGTTGATACATGTTTTTGTATACTCAATGTGGCTTCTCCACCCTTTTTTCTTGGACAGTCATAATTTTAATTGAAACAACAGAAAACAAACACATGTACATGTATTACTAAAACTTGAGACATGCACCGTATTACATGTACATGCACATGTATATGCAGCTCTGTAGGTTGTTCGGACCCCATAGGCCAACTGTTCTCATTATTAAAAACCAAAGAAATGATTTATGATGATAACTCAAGCTTATTCAAATAATCATATTTTCTTTTGATTATTTAAAAATTCTTATATCCATGTAGGCCTTGTAAATGCTCAAAGGATTATGCTCAAAGGATTTGCCTTTGAGAAATGTCTTGCTTAAGACTGAAAATGTCCAGTCAGTTTGCTTCAATCACATACAATGACTTCCCAACAAAAAAGCAAAAAACAAAAATTCATTATGGGATCATAGGCATCAATACATTACATACACATATATATAACCTAAAGAAAACAATAACAATGTCCATGAACGTTCCATGTGACCCAGGTAAGTTGATGGTTATGTCATGGATATAGGCATGGTTGCGGGGCATTTGTGTTTTTTAACACTACTTTTCTTGTTTTTACTGATGACGTCATCAAACCGGAAATAACTTGAATGTGTACCTAAAATGTATACTGAAATTGATCATACCCCAACAGATGAATTTTTCAAAACAAAACAAATGGCTGTGCTGGGAAGGCACAGCCATCACTTTCGTGATGTTTTTTTCTGTTCTGACAAAAAACATTCATAATTTAACTAGAACTGGGCAGAGTCTAATGAAATGATTGTCTGCCCAACCACTCTATGTTTGTAACTCAACAAACACGAACCAGTAGTTCTGACCTCAAGAATAATTACGCATATCAATCAACGTGTAAATACTGATTACATTTGACTGTTGAGAGGGTATTTGAGCACTGAACCCTACCTGGGAGAATAAAGAAATGGACTGGCATAGGATTTGAACCCGTCACAGAATACGGTGACATCGACAAACTCTTTATCAACTGAGCTTACCTATGTCGGAAGTATCGTTGTTCACAGGGACACTAATCAGAAGCCATCAACCCATATGTGCACATGAATGGGGATTGATGTTGTAAAGAAAAAGGAATAACTTACCTCTCTCCGTTTGTGTTGCAACAGACTTCAAGATGACATCGCGAGCAGGTTTTTCTTCATATGCCTGTGCCATCCTACGGAGATGTTTCTGAATGGATGCAAGCTACACGAAAAAAGAAAAAAGAAAATCAATCACAGATCTCATAAAGACATTTTAAAATTTCATTGGGTGAATTTTGATAAGTTGTGTTATATATAAATATGAGTTGTGTTTAAATAAATATTCGTATTTTCGCTTTTGAAAACGCAACTTTGGTTTGATTTCAAAAGATTAATTTAGTTGGACAGGGAAAAGTTAATTGATTACGTCCATTTTCTGACAGCAAATATTTTAGAGGTACACATTCGTTCAAGATTGCTAAAATATATTGCGTTTTCATTACTTACTCATGATATGTTAAATGGTTATATAGCTTTCAGCAACAGACTGGGCTACTGTACATTGTAATGCACATAAAGTAAATGACAATTCTCTGTATGGCGTCAGGACCCTATTTCGTGGCGCTGCTGAATAATCAGCAGAAAGTACAGCCCTGGACAATAGCAGAAACTTGTGCTAACCTTAAGTACTCTTTCTACTGAATGAATGCGCATGCATGGAGATTTTTATTGTTCCTTTATTTAAACCGATTAAAAAAACATTTACTCTAAAATAAGCACGCCTTTTTGCTGTGCTCACTGCTTACAGTCTCAATAAAATAAACGGAGGCTCTGTTTCTAGCAGAAAATTGTGTGCATAGTAGCGCCAGGAAATTGGGCCCAGGCCCACAGCAGTTGGAGCATCTGTGTTTGAGGCGGTGTTTATGAAAAGAAACACTGGAATAAAGACTTACACTCCAATGTCTCGATTTTTTGTGACCTAAGTTTTATAATCAGAACATGCAAATGTCCATGGTAAAGCCCCACTCTACTATAATAATATATTCTCTAAGTTTTAAAGATCCTTCCAACTTTTCATTTCATTTCATGGGAAAGGCGTTCGTTTTAAACAACATGTTACTTTGAGATAAGCACAACTTTTTGCTGTGCTCACTGGCTACGGTCTCCTTAAAATAGACGGAGGCTGTGTTTATAGCAGAAAATCGTGTGCATAGTAGCGCCAGGAAATTGGGCCCAGGCCCACAACAGTTGGAGCATCTGTGTTTGAGGCGGTGTTTATGAAAAGAAACACTGGAATAAAGACTTACACTCCAATGTCTCGATTTTTTGTGATCTAAATTTTATAATCAGAATATGCAAATGTCCATGCCATGGTAAAGTCCCACTTTTTACTATCCACTCCGTGCACAAGTACCCCCTCACCGGCAAAGAGAGTGCAGTTGGGGGTGACAAAACGACACCATCTTGCCCGACTGCAATTCATTTGCTGTGAAGCGCGTCCACTGCGCGTACATAGTACAAATCCCCTGGTGTACGTGCGTCACACACAAGAAACAGTGCGTGTCCACCGGCGAAATGTCCCGCCCATTTGACGCTGTTGCTAGGTAAAAGGGCGCCCTCTTTCGTAGATGCACACGGAGCCCATACTATAATATATTCTACGTCTAAATTATCCTTCCAACTTTTCATTTCATTTCAAGGGAAAGGCGTTCGTTATAAAGCCCACAAGGACACAATCTGTTCCAAAGTGCATCTCTTTGATGCCAACCTGTCTGGTAGATGGAGACAGCCTTCCTGCACATCTGCTTCTAGATCTCTGTCTTGGTGTGTGGAATGTCTCACCAGAACGAGAAGTCTCCACAATCTGCTGGCCAAGACTCTCCAGAGAGGTACTCTCCTTAGGGCTGGAAAGATGAAGACAAACAGTTACAATGCAAATGCGTCACACCATCTCACTATCAGGCTGCAGCGGATTTCACGAAACTTTATGCAATGGAGTAACTCCACTTGCGCCACAATTTATTCGCCAGTTGTGCAATATTTTACGCTGCGCAACATTTCACGAAAGATTCATCATGCGACTTGCACAACACATTACGGTATAACTTGCGCATTCCTTTTGGGTGGCGTAAGTTGTGGTGTAGCAACTGAAAATGAACTAGTTTACTAGCAAATCACTATCGTCGTGGAGCCTGTCATATCAAGGTTGATACAACACACTCACAGCTTTGTATGAGAATGAATTGGTATTTTACTTGTGACAGAATTTTTAAAGTTGATGCCTGATTCCAAACAAAGTTAGACTAAACAGTTTCAAAACGGCAGGCAGAGGTGATTCAACAACTGTTTTTGTGACTAAACAAAAACAGCCGTAGTAAATGCTTTATATACACTTCTGATGATGGGATTTACGCTCTATGTTTCTGAATTTTATCACTGTAAAAATTAAGCGAGAATTAAACTTGAATGGATGTTTTACCTGGTGGAAGTTTCACCCCATTCATCGCCGTCAAAATCAGAGAAAATTGAGCTCATCTCTTGTATTGAACGGTTCAGAATAGCCTGGTGCTGAAAATGCAGAAGTGGAGGAAACAACACTGCATTATCTCACTTATACCTGCTAATTACAATGAGCTTTTTCTTGATGATGAGCTGGGAATACTACTCAAATATCAAGTAAACACCTGGTTCATTTCCCAACACACACATGACAGACAGCCTCACATGGTTGTACTGCAAACCTTTTTTTGCCAGTCTAATTACAAAATGAAAGCTTCAAATCCTTATTCTAATCATTGAACTGCAAAGAGAGGGTTGAAATCATTGAAATCATGTGTCTATGTCAAATCAAATAAGTGATATTTGTACATAGAATGACTGATGGTATGGTAAGCGTGACTTTAAGCATTTGTAAACATGATAAGCATGATAACTTGGGGCAATTCTGCGGATACACCACGTGAAGTAACTAATTCTTAAAAGACATATTTGATTCCAAAAAGAACCAGAGGGTACCGAAAGTAATAACAAATTTGGTTCTTACTTAGCACTTTATACTATTTCTAAGAGCACTTCACAATTATTACCCTTGTTCATCTGGCAGTGAGATCCCAACTTTCACTCGGGAGGTAACACACTGAGTATACAGTGTTTAAACGTCGGTGAAGGTCAAAACCTATAATTTGATTTATCACCCCGAAGCGCAAAAATTCCATCTTATAATGGCAGTGAGATCAGTTATCTGCAGCAGCTCGAGATCAGCAACATCAGTTTCCTGCCTTCACAGGTACCCGGGGCAAATGCAATTGTGGTAAAGTGTCTTGCCCAAGAACACAAACACTAAGTTGCCATCAGGATTTGAACCAACATACCATTGTTCTAAATACCCTAACCATTAGACCATGGCCCTCTATGTCTACTATCTGCCTGTTAGTAGATGAAGTGATTTGGCAACAAATCTATCCACTTCTTACCTCCTTGGTTGTCTTACTCCTTCTGAATGACACTCCTGCCACCGTGTGCCTCTGCCTGTGCTTGAGATGACTCAGTTTCTTCTTGAGATGGTTGATTGTTCTCCTTAGGTCCATCATTTTGGTCTCTTTCTGAGCCTCCACAGCTCGCTGCTTTGATACGCCCATCCTTAGGGACCTTTGTCATAGGCACAAACAAGACATTTGTGAGGCATTCTGGCAAAATGAGACGAAACTTGGCTAAATCGAAAAGAGGGTTTGCAGGTATTGGGAAACAGAATATCATTCTTCTTACAATACTCTTTGTTGCACTTCAATAAGACATTCCTTTGACAGGTTATGGCTGTTTAAAGCTCTCATTTATGGACATGTTAAAAAGTAAAATATTGAAAACAAGGCCTTTAAATGTTCGAGTTTTGTACATGAAAACGAAAGATGCCAATTATTGTTTCCTTAAAAACACTATTATTCTACCATTTTAAACTATTTCTTTAAAATGTGTGTAGACCTATGACAGATTGCATATACATGTATTTATGAATCTGAAAATTGAAAAAAAAAATTCCCTCCCCCCATTCCTATTTCTTTTGCAGTTTTCTCATGCCCCCAGTTATCAATCAACCAATCCGTGTATTAAATTTATCAATCAAACCACCCAAATAAGGAGAGGCACTCAACAACATTTTTGTATAAATAATGGATGACCCGAGTACAAATTAAATCTTCACTCAAAGTACATGTAACAGTGGCAAAGCTTTAATGTACAAACCTAAGCATGGACGAGATTCACTCTAATGAACATTCTGAGGTTAATTAAACATTGTATAGTATAGTGGTCATTCGTTACGATTTAAGCCACCATTGTTCAGTACAACTGGAATATAACATTGGGAGCTCAAGGCCATGTTCATTATCGCCAAATGTTTGATGTAGCAGTGCTCTTGATAATAGCATTCTACTGTCTTGGATTCTGGTAGATATGGGATACATGAGGTGGTTGACGGTTACCTGTTCTCGGCCTCTAGGTGGCTCTTGTCTCTCATCAATCCATTCTTCTCTTTCTCCAGTTGCTGTATCAATCTCTGCAGGTCACTGACCCTATCTCTCAGCTCTGCAGCCTGTTCTCGCTCTGTCTTCTCTCTTCTGTTTGCTTCGCTTACTTGGCTCAGCTGCTCCTCCAACTCTGAAGAAAAAAAGGCTTTTACTTGGTGAAAAGGAGGCAAGCATGTGTATTGGACTACATGAACAAATCAATTAAAAAGAAAAAGAAAAAAAACACCAACAAAAACAAGAACTACTAAAGAGCTGTTTGCGTTAAAGACTAAGACAAAAGACAACGCAAAAGAAACTTGATGCAGCAAGTTTTTATTGAACATTTTCTCTAACTCTTCACAAAATGAGTTTTAATACATAAAAATAAGGGAAAAGGCATTTACAATCAAAGACAGTAACTGCAAAAAAACTCCTTGCAGGAATGTTTGGAAGCAACATGCAAAATTCGTATGTAGCAGCAAATTTTGACATGGGATTGGAGATGCCAAATTTTCCAAATCCTGGGCACAGATTGCCACTTTTAAAAATTAAAAGGTCTTCTTTGACAATTGTAGAAACAAACAAAACAAGATGTATGTAAAAAAAAATTTAAAAAGGTTAATAAAGAGACTGGACCAGTCAGAATAAGGTGTTTATATTTTGAAGAAAATTGCAAGAAACTTCTTATTTTTTAACAGGAATTTAAATGCTACAGTTGTGTTAAAGGGAATGTACATCATTGGCTTTTGCTGTAATTTTCAGAAATGGAGTATTTGAGGGGTTAGTATAATATATCAAATATTGTTACACTGACATGTTTGAAGTTTTATGTTCGAAAATGCTGGAAAAACCAAGAAAAACAAAATTGTTCAAGTAGTCTGGTTCCCTGACTCCACTAAAGATGAAATGGATCAATTTATAGTTGCCAGAAAATTTTAAGGTAAGGGAACCAGTCTGGCTGGCCTGCACCCGTTCATGAACATGTAACCAATACCAAACAAAATTTGGGCTGAAAAAGGGTCAATTTGGAGCAGTAGTTGAAATATAGTTAGGTTTTTCCAACGGTGGTCGGCCGACTACCGTTGGAAATGTATACAAAAATACCATTTTCTTGAAAATGACTTCACACCAGGTGCCATAATTGTACAGGATGCTTTAGACTGTCATTTACCAACATCCTAGTAAGGTATTTCTTAAAAACTTGGTAGTTTTATTTTTCGATGTTTGCAAATGTTGTATATTTTTTTTTAACTGAAATCTTGATCTCTCAGGAGATGAATTCATCTAACCTTGTCTCTCTTGTTCTAAGCATGTTGTGAGTTCCTTGATGGTGGTGGCATCTGCTGCTGTCTGGACTCGAAGGCAATCCAATTCCTCATGGAGGTTCATTCTGAATAAGAATGGAAAAAATCAGAATGAACAATTGTCTACGATAATGGACTCCGTGCATATTAAATGGAGCTTTCTGCTGACACGTGAGAGGTGTGTGTGTGGTACACACTGTGGTCAGGCACCAACATTTTTCATCTGATTGTACACTCCACATGAGAGCCAGGCATACAGGATTAATGTGTTCAAGGCCTGCCTAGCTAATTCTCTCTTTGTAACAATTGCATTGGCATATAGACATCGTAGGTCTTGATCACACTCCTAGAACCTTGGCCTATCAACTTAAATCGGCAATCGGGGACGACAGCATGTCAGTACCACAGAAACGAACTTGTTGCTTACCGCTCTTGTAAGACGTTGACTGTCTGTTGTTTGAAGTAGGCCAGCTCATTCCACACTGCATCTGAATCCTCTTTCTGCAGCGTGCGTGGCTCTGAACGACGACCCTTCTTCTTCTTTGGAGGATGTCTTTAACAAACGAACAACCCTGGTCAGCCAGTCTACAATTTTGCATTTATTTTACAGCAAAGAAGAGGAGTAGACGGAGTGGTCTGGAAAAAAACTAAAACTTAAGCTGCACTTTCATCTTGATCACTCATAGAAAACTGCATTCAGAATATGACAATCACCTCAAAGTTCCCCCTTTTTTTCACTGATTGGGATAGGAAGTGTCTAAAATTTGAAACATTCCTATTCCTTTTTGAATACTCCTCAGGAACAAGGTGTGTTCCCTGTTAAAAGTTTAATTAATGAATCTCTTTGATACAATTTACATGTGCACAGGCAAAACTTCCATAAGGAACAAAGACCTTTCCAAGCTATTCCCATTTTTAAAGAATTCTGTGTGTTCCCATTCAAAACCGGCAGTTTGGAATGCAATATAAAACACCTTTTTTTTAACATGCAATAGAACAGATTTAAGTACCTTTCTTCTGCATCATAGGTCTTGATCTGTTCCTTGAGGACATTGTAGCTGGCTTGAAGGGCTTTGAGTCTCTCTAAGCGTCTCGTGTGGGCAGATCGCATCTCATCCAATTCATTATTCTGTACAACAATTATAACATCAACAAGGTCTCTAAATATATTGTACCATAGAAAAGGCCATCAAATTTTTTATTTTTTAAGTGTCTTAACCAGTTTGTGCCGGGATTATTTTGACATTGACCGGACCCAGGCAAGAGATTGTTTTCACAAACCTCAATGCCAGACAAATTCATGCTGTCATCTGCGGGTAGCACACCCTGATATATCCGGTCTCGCTCGCTGCGTGTGGGTCGCAGACAGAGATTTCCGGCCTCGCTCATTGCATGTTTATCCTTCATCCATTCCGAATACCGCAAAACCTTTGCGTGTATACACGTCATCTGACGTGAACTGCTTAACAACTACCAAGGCACTTTTGCCTGGAGGCTTCCAGAATTCGTCAAAATCTGCCAATATGCAGTAATTCAATGAAGCTTTCTTTTATCTTACGAAATTTGACCACCAAGTCTCACTTTTAGCACATGCTGAGGCACTGTAGTCCTGAATCCACCAAAATCTAGCAAAGTTTTAGGAGATTCACAATGGTGCAGTCAAAGCATTTGTGATGGATTACAAGTCATCACAAGTCCGTCACAGTACAAGTCATCAAGTCCCAAGTCAACTTGCAAGGTATTCAAATGAATTGGGACAAAGTCATTCGCATTCCTTTGTTACTGTTCATCACATTATGACCAGACTTGTGGTGTACTTGTGTATCCATCACAAATCCCTTGATTACAACCTTGTAGATTCTGGAGGGTGAGGGAGGTACCTTTAACTTCAGGAGTTTTCTCAGGTCAGCGATTCTCCTCCCTGCGATGTTGTCTTCTGTTGGTTCTGCATCCCTAGTTGCAGACTCCTCTGGTTCCTCTCTCGTGGTAGGAGAAGAGGCTGTCTGGTAAGGGCGAGGCCGACGAGGGGAGAGAGACCGAGATCGTCTCAATGGACCTTTGATGTATGGTGATGACACCTGCAAGATTTAAATTATTAAGTCCTAGATTTCTTTTTTTAAACACACATCGTCAAGACAGTAACAACTGCAGATGGGATATTACGGTCAGACATCAGATATTTTCTGACAGTTTCCTTATTTTCCCTTAATAAAACACAGGTGCAGTCAAATATTGTCTTACAAGTGCATTCCAGGTAAGTGAAGAAATTTGGCACTCCACATGCAACAGCTCAAACTTGGCTGTTAACTGTCTTAGCATTTCTGGTGTCCAATGGGTGTAAAATTGAATCTCTATGCAGAGCATGGCTAAAGGCAATGCAATCAATATTGATATTTCCACTTCTTTTTTTAAAACACTTTTATTTCCTTAATTTTATCGACAAAATGAAAGAGATTAAGCACTTACAGCACTATACCTGTCATCAAGATCATCCCTGGCCTGCTGATGTCTACTACGGATAATAAAAAAAAAAATTAATTTTGTACAAGACATTATGAAAAATATTACAAATTAAAACAATCATGCCAAAAATGCATTAGGAATCTAGTCAACACTTGTCTTGTTGATAGAACCCCCTACCGCCACGGCAGACCGGAGACCTGACCTCATAACACACATATATATGTGGACAGGTAGCGGCCTCTCAAATGATGTCACTGCCTACAGATTGACACGTGCATCAACATTCTGGGAGTCAAATTTTCATGACGTGCATCGGCTGTGCCGTATTTTGAAGAAATTTTGAGCAACATGCGAGCGTGTTTTGAACATTTTGCACACTGTGTGTATATGCACCTGATGGCGTTGATTACGCAGTTGTAATTTTCCTACTAAGATGTCTGTCTATGAGAGGGGTCTATTGGTTGCTATGCCTCTTTAATTTGGTTGGTCAACTTCTCATGCACGCTCGCACCACTCTACAAATGTACCTTTTCCTCTGCAACCTTGCTTCCATCTCTGTATCGTGTTTCTCCCAAACCATCCCATCATCCATCAGATCAGTCTGGATCCCAATGTCCTTTGTTGCCTTCCGTCGTGATAAGTGTTCCTCAGCCGCGGCCAATCGCTGTCTCAACTGCTGCTCAGATGTTTTGGAGGCTTTGTAACGAGACTGCAGCTCTTGGTACATCTGTAAACAGATAATTGAGTGAGTAATACATGTACTTGAAGGATCACGAGTCAATCACAAGTCCAGTACAAGTCAATTCACAAGTCCAGTCAAAAGTAACAGGGAATGAATAACAAAGTAAATGCTTGTGTTAGCATTAATCTGAATAGCTTGCAAGTAGACTTGGGACTGGATGACTTGTGTCTGACTCATGATGACTTGTGAATTGAGATCAATCACAAGTACGTCAACTACCACACTACTTGTAAGCATGTAATTCACTCATGATTAAATCACATACAGAAAAATGGCATTTTTACCACTTGGGGCATAGTTATACACCGAGTTCTTAGTCTGAAGAAAATAAAGGGTTAACAAGGCTTTGCCACGCCCACTTTGCAGGGTGCTGCCTGGCCAGCTTTGCTACGTTGTGTTGTTGCTACCCGACAAAGAACCATGTACTTTATTGTATAAGAGAATCCAGCGACCAGAATTAGAAGCTTTTACTGCAGTGGTGTCATGCTCATGCGCATACTGCACACGTTCTTAAAGACATTTTGGTACTCCTATTGGTCGAAGGAGCCTGGAGAGCGCGTGTACTACCCGAGCGCAACTCGTGCGAGCCTTGGTGCCACCGCAGAAAATGGCTGCCACCGGATTTGTCTATATCGATGATCCCATGTGCTTAAAACTGAGATGAAGACTGTTACGTTGGATTCCTGTACTTACAGTTTGAAAGGAAGACACTTCTATTTTATGTGCGTCCTCTTGATTCTTTAACACTGAGGACAAAAACAAGAGATTTTTTCATCAATCAAAAGGTGAAAACCAAAAAATATGTGACGGATCTATTGAAGTTATTATATCAACAAAGTTTTCAATGCCATTAACTTAATTAAGTTTGATTTGTTATATTTTTCAAGGAGGTAGGCACAAGTGGAATGTAATGAATGTCACCTTTCTGTGTATCAAACTGCAGTGTTTGCAGTTGCTGTATGACGTCCCCCTGCTGAGTTGCATGCTCCATGGCTTGGCTGCTGGCTGCCTGTGCATCAGATATCTCCTTCCTAAAACAATCATACAACTTATGACTTATTGCTAATAGAGCTTGTGTACGAGATTTTTTTGTCTACAAAATAATCCTTATAATGCACCATTTTTTTGCCATTTAATTTTGTGTTCAATCTGAGTACTTCAACAGTTAAGGGTTTTGGGGACTCTTTCCAAACAGGCATGACAGTCAACTATGTAGCAAAAAATAGATACACATGTTTTCATTGAGCCACAAACTGTGGTGTTCCCTTACTATACTGGCATCACAAAACAGCGCCCTCAGTTGTCAGGAACATGGCACATTCTAAATGTTGAAAAATAACACTTAAACAAAATTTTAACCCAAAAGGGGTGACTGATTATTTTCAAACAATTTAGAGTAATGGGTCTTAGTACCAGAAGTAACTACAAATGTAAGGGAGTAAAGGTAATGTCGTGGTCTTTTTATGTTATCAGCATTTTCCTCTCTTTTAGGTTCTTGTTAATGTTCTGATATGGCTCTACAGGTCTGGGTACAAAAATCACTCACCTTAATTTACTGGATTCTTTTTCTTGCTCAATGAGTTCACTTCTCTTTTTCCTGAGCTCCTCTTTAAGCTGACGCACACTTTCCTCCAAATCCTTGAGTTTCCTCAAATGTCTGTCTTCCTAAATAAACAAATGAACCAACCACATCAGATGGGTATATACATTAGTATTTCTATGAAATTCATCAAATATTACGAACACAAGACAATTGTATTCAGTGATTTTTCTCTTCTTTCTTTAATCTGCTGCAAACCACAACAATTTTAACATTTGACAGTCTGCAAATCTGCATGGTGACAAAATAATATTTAATTTTATGAACAGGATGACGAGCAGAGTATACTGTTCGAAACCTAAAGTTAAACCAACTGGTTCTTCTTAGAACCACACAACTCACTAAGAGATATCATTTACATGGTGTTACCGCAAACCTCCCATAATTGAGGATGACAGTGGCCCATTCCATATTTGGCCACAAGCTACGCTAACTCGGCACATGGGTGACAACATGTCTCTAATGCCGCATGCATGTTTGGGTGGATTTAGCAAATAGCTCTACTAACAAAGGTGAACATTAAAATAGGACCTACCTCATGGGCTGCTTTCTTAGCAGTCTCTGTGATAGCTTGAATATCCTTCTCTAGGTCCTACAAATTAACAACAAAGTATACGGAAAACATAAATCCCAGAGATTTCATCGGTTTTACTCTCAAAGACATGATTCATTGATAGAATGATCAATATTTACAATACCAATGCATAAGGGTGTAAAAATTCATTGATGCACCGACAACTGCAGTAATTGTCATGATACAGCATTGCGATAACGATAAGAATTTCAAGCATTCTAAATTTTTATAACACTCCCCTGCGTTTATGATAAATACCTTGATTCTATCTTGGAAGTCCAGGTTGGAAGCATGTAGTCTGATTGAGGATTGCTTTTCTCTCTCAAGCTCAATAGTCAAACTGGTAATCTGCTTCTCACAATCTAAACAGGAAGTCAACAAATTAGTACACAGATAAAGAAAAATTAGAAACAAATTAAAACACTTACGTTATAAAACTCACCAGCATGAGCTCTCACCTTTCATCCACTTTTCACTCCTTCATGAATTGACTTTACCAACATTATATGATACAGTCGCACAATTTATACATAAATTCCAGATCAGAGTAGGGTTTTTCATTGTTTAGAACTAATTCGGTAAACAGAAAAATACAAATTAATTAAATTATAAAATGATAAAAGGTTTAACTGAAATCAAATTTATTAATTTCAATGGTGGTGGAATACCTTTTTTGTCATTTTGGACTTTCTCCAATGTTTCTTTGTTGATCTCTTCGACATTCTTCAGTCGTACGTCCTTTGACTGGAGCTGTGAAAAAAAAAAGTACAAAAATAAAAAAATAAACAGTACAAAATTCCATCTTGCGAATAAAAATAAAAGTTCCAGGCGGCACTAATTTTATATAATTTAAATCTATATTGGGGCCAAAGCAATTGAGAGCAATGCCAAGTCAAATTGAACCTGGGATCCAATTATATGCCAGATTAAGAAATGTAATAAACATTGTCTACAGTGCATAAAGATCACGAACAATCCCCAAAGTGGGCAAATCCTTGAGAATTCATTACCAGCTGTTCTTGTTGCAATTGTTTCTCCTTGAAATGTTGGTTTTCTTTACGGATTTTCCTCTTTTCATCGTCAACTTCAATTTTCCTGAAAAGTTGAAAATAAAATAAGAATCATAAAGATGAATCAATCACTTCATTCATAAGATGAAGAACTGCATGCTCGTAAAGAATTTTGTTTGGAATTCAAAGAAAAAGGAATGATAAAAAATCTACAATCTGTATTGGCAAGTCAAATACCAAACATTACCTTGAAATAAAGCCTTTGAGTTCGTCTTGCTGTTGAGACAACAGCTGTTTGGAAACAAAAGAAACTTTACATTAATAGCAAGCAAGAATTACATGTACTCACATTTAGCAAATAAAAAGTAGTTATCAAATTTATTTACATTTTATGAATGGAAGGGAAAAAATCATATTCAGATGTGTAATGATGCTATTCCTAACTCCCGCCCAATAAAAATGAACGAAGCAAATTGCTTTCAAGTTTAAGATTAATGTTTCTGTGAGAATCTTACCCTTTCCAATTCTGCAATGCGGTCATCCTTGATTTGTAGAATCTCCAGAACTTTCCTGTCCTTCAACTCTGCTTTTTCCTTCTCACTGGAAATTCGGAAAATATCAAAATGAAAAAAAATCAAATCAAATAAAGATACTAAATCCACTCACTGTAACTGAGTAATGAATCATCAAGGAAAAAATACACAAAAATGAGGTACAAAAAGCACTTGCATCTGTCATTTTTCTCGCCATGCAACAACTTGGGTAATGTAGGATAACATGTTATATGCATATACCCTGCCACTAACTACCGGTAACTCCTTAGGCATATTTGCTAGGATGTAACCTCAATCCTGCAAAATCCTCCAACTGTCTCCATGTCAAAATAGCATACAGCCTCAATCCTGCAAAATCCTCAGTTATTTCTTGAATGTGGTCCTTGGAGGGATGACCACTGCCTCAATCCTGCAAAATCCTCCGCGAATCACTGTCAATGTGTTGAGGCAGAGCCAGTGACATCCTGGAGCAGTGCGGAGGGTTTCAAGTATATGTATAACCTAGGCCTAAATTTATGCACGACTGAGCATAAACAACACAAGGTCCAGCCCAAGAACTTGACAAAGTGCATCCTCCAAAATCAGCCACACACTTCTTCCATATAGCCTCAATCCTGCAGAATCCTCCATTTTGCAAAGAGTATTTTGGAGGATTTGGGAAGGTTAGGGCTAAAGACAGGAATTATACTTTGCCGCATCAACAAAAATGATATTTGTACAGAGCATTTTTGCAATGTATTTGACTAACCGTTGGACCACGAGACTAATGGCTTGTGTAACATCTGGATTGGCAACTTGTAGTCGCTTCCACAGGGACCAAACAAACTCCTTGTCAGCCTGCAGGAATAGGTCAAAGTAAACAGAAAAAACAGGATTGCTAAACAGTTGGGAAGGATTTTTTTAGGACTGAAAATAATTTTCAACACCAAATAAAAGATATATTTGCCGGATTTATCATTCAAAAATATGCATTCAAAGCCACATTTCTAGCTATTATGAATAATACCACCTCAAATGAATGGATTTGAAATTACAGGGCGAGTCAAAAAGAAAGTGACCGAAAAAAAGTATTTTTAAAATTATCTGGCTCGCTCCATTTCATAGAAATAACATAGGGATAAAGTACATATATTATTGACTAGTAACTGTGAAAATTTCACGTAGTTTGCATACTCTATTCCCAAGTTACGTGTAATGTATTTTAATAAAAAGGCCACAAACTTCAGCTGGCCACCACTGATCATTTACCTTTTTATGAACTGATGAACACCCAATACAAAATAACACCCAAAGGAAAAAAAAAAACTTCCAAGGTAAAAAACAAAACAGAAAAACATACAACACAAACAAAAAAGCAAAATGCTCCTCTGATCAAAACAAAAAAGAAATCGGCCTCGAGTAAGGAAAACATAGAAAACAAAAACAAAACACACACAGATGTTACCTGGCACTGAGCTAAAACAAACAACACAAACAAACAAAAGCAAAATGACTCTCTCTCAAAAGAGAAAAGAAATCGGCCTAGAGTAAGGAAAACAAAGAAAACAAAAACAAAACACACACAACTGTTACCTGGCACTGAGCTAATTCTTCAGACAAAGCCCGGTTCTGGGCTTGGAGTTGACTGGTTTCTGATGAAGTCATTGTCTACTATGGAACAGAAGTAAAAAATCATACAAAATGATTTACGAAGGGAGGAATAGAAAATAGGAAGTGCTAGTTAAAAGACACAAATTAATATTAAGTCAGGTAAAAAAAATTAACCAGTATATCTCATCCCCGCCTGCTTTTCTCCTGCCCGCCTCCTTTTCCATATTATTTTTTTTAATTTATACATTTGCAACAAATTTTGCAAATATATTGTCAATATATTGTGTTTATATTTGTTTCAAACAAATTGTGGCTATATGCAGAAAAGGTTATGACTCCTTTGTATACAACTTTGTATCAGCAAAAGAGTGAAGAAAATGGAAAATGCATCTGCCATTTTGGAAAATCTGCCAACTCGGGCAAAAAAAGAAAAGCCCCTGCCTTCTTCATTTTTTGGAAAAGCCCAAACGAGAAACACATTTTTTTTACACGGCCTCATTATTTCTCATATCATTGACTGAAATGCAAGGTTTTTTAGCTTATGTCATTGAGTAACATTACACTGGTATTTGTGTAGTTTAAGACCCTGTTCTATTAGAGAACGAAAAAGACACTTTTATGTTTTGGAAACTGACAAAAACAGTTACCAGCAGGAAAAGTAACTTTATATTTTTCAGTTCGCTAAAATATCATATTGCATATCAGCCGGCTTAATTACACGGAAAGAGGGTAGGGTTTTTATGAGGAAAATTATGGGGCAAAAATAAAATGATGACAGCGCCTGAACAGCTGTGACTTGCATGTCTATATTCTATAAATGCTAAAAAAATATGTAAGGTCGGTCGTATTTTCTTCAGAAGTAGGCCTCGGCTCCCCTACTTATTTACAAAAACCTAGAGTTAATCTCAATGAATAAGACTGCTTAGGCCAGGGCTGCAAACGTTATTTTGGAAACTTGGACAGTCATTTGCGAAACTAATTATTGAACATGTTGAAAAGGACAAATTAAAAAGGGAGGTGTCCTCCTAAACTACACGATTACCATATTAATTATACCTTTCTTTACTGCTAGGCTATAGCAAGTCCGAATCTAAAATATGGAATTCACTCAGGAATAATATGATTCAACCATGGAGCTATAAAACTCATTGACCTTGATTCCACCATAGACTAGGAACAGATACACTGGGCCTAGTTCAAGTCGCGAGCATTGGCGAGAAAGTTGTATTCACGCACAAACATGACAAACTCACAAAGACATATGGCCCACTTTCATAGGTCTGAAAGCAACATGGAGGAACGAGTATTCACCTTGTCCCTTGGCCTTGCGCTATCAAAGTGAACCGCAGCCTATATCATGCAGCGCGCCAGTGCAGCTAGCGCAGACACATTCTTTGAAAAGTAAATGGAAAAACTGGAGTGGCGAACAATAACATTACTTCATGTTATGTTTTCCTCATTTTATTGGCCCACTACATGCTTAAACGTTACCAATTTAAACAAAAACACTTACTTAACCATCTTTTCCTCTAAAAGAGACCAAAAAACTCAAAATGCACTTTAAAAGTCCAACTTGGAGCACGGCGATGGTCTAGTTCAGCATTTTTGTCTGTAAATTTAGACTGTAGGCGGTTTGAATTAACCGCGGCTTCCGCGCTATACACACAATGCTTTTGTGCGCTGCTTATTCAGGCACCCGTCTATTTTGGTGTCGCATTTTGTCAATGTCAAAAAAACGTCATAAGAATGTGCACAAAAGCCGCCACGACGCGCACACACGGCTCAGGCCCGACGTACGTGCACACACAGTGAAGTACGTGCAGTCTACGGTGGTCGTCTGCTCTTTATGCTCGTACATGGCCAACGTGAAACCCACCGCCGTGGGATTTTCACAATGGCAACGGTGAGTAAATGCCACATTTTCTCCGTTCTAATGACAGCCAGTTGTATTTTCACAGATACCTACCCACCGGTACTGCATGTATGTACTTTGCCGGTGAACTCTGGAGCTGTTTGGCTTTTCTAAGTGGGATTTTTTCGAAGCATTTTCAGGGAGTTTGCGACAGGTCAACAGTGGCGTCAGGTTCACCAGCGACACGATTGACAAAATATGGACGACAAAAAAGCAGCCGACGAGCCACAGACTGGCCTTCTATTTTACCCGCATTTTCAGACCTCTGCTTTACCCCTTTTTCCCGTTTTTACATCAGTTTCTCAGTTTCAGGATCCACGATGAAGCTCATGACCGTCACTTGAAGTTGAGAAGTTCAGTGTCCATGTCATTTTGCCCAATTAATTTTCAACATTTTTCCAGATCACCGAAAATACATGTAGTTGCCAAGAAAGCGAGCGCGCTTAATGTTGGTTTTTCATTTTGCATGCGCTGCACTGCATTAACTGGAGTCTTACGGCCTATAAAAAAAAAAGCTTTGGGGTGCTTTCTTTTTCACGATTTCTCTAAAACTTATTCTTGTTCGTTTAGAAATGGTTTGTTTCAAACTTTTATTGGCACTTTATTCCCTCGCAAGTTTTCGTTGTTTCGGCACAAGATCGTGTATGGCAAGATCATCAATATTTAGTTGCGTGTTCCTTGTCACAGTTTGGCCTCGCATGATGCATAATGTCGGCGTCAATATCATTGTTGTGCCCATTCTTGAAAATCACGCATTCTCGAGAATGGGCATGCACATTCTTGAGAATGTGCAACTGGATCCTTGCTCAATCTTGGCAAAAAATAACTCTTCCAGATTGAGCGCACATTCTTGAGAATGCGCGACAAGATAACGGTCTTGTCGATGCCGAGCACCGGCTGCGCTTGGCAAGTCTAGCTAAATCCTCGTTCACTGATTCTCAATAATTATACTGTTGCAACGCAAGGCGCTGAAAAGTAGAGTGGATATGATAAGTAAAGGCGTATTGATATGGGGGGGGGGGGGGTGGGGGGGGGGGCGGGGGACCGGGAAAATATAAGAGACATAATAATACTAGTGCAAAGAATTCTGATTTTTGGGATAATAAAAGCGGGGGGGGGGGACGTAAGAATGAAGAATGTGAAGAATGAGAATGAATACTGCGACATCCCATAGTACTAATGCTATTTCCCATTTAAATTGCCACCAATTTATTGTTCACATCCCACCATAACGTCGCAGAGCTGGATTCTATCTAGTCAAAAGAGTAATTTTGGCAGCTTCTGGACATCGGGTTTTTTTCGTGGCACGCATATGATACATGCAGGGACTTGTAACTTGTCTAGCCTAAACAAAGCACTTCCCAGACTAGTTCCCAGTCCTCCGTTATTACAAAACTTCCCATAGTGGACAGAAAAAAGCAATAATAACAGGTTTAATTTGATTCAAATTATCGTAGTTATACGAGTACAGAAGCATAGCACATTTTCTTTCCTCTTTATATGAATTGTTTCCCTTTTAACCGCTATACAATTCATTTAACATAATTATGTCGTGCAATGTTTGTTAAGATTGGGCAAAATTCATAAATTGTGCACGTGATATTCCCACCCAATCTTAAGAATGAGCGCTCATTCTTAAGAACGCGTGCTCGTTCTTAAGAATGGGCGCTCATTCTTAAGAATGCGCGCCCATTCTCGAGAATGTGCATGCCCATTCTCGAGAATGCGTGATTTTCAAGAATGGGCACAACATCATCACACTACGATCACATGGTGCGTTGTGGGTCTTGTGGCACATATCAAAGGCGGGCTGTGAGCTGCCGATGACGGCGGGTCAGCTAAACCGCGGCCGGCCTGGTACTAGGGTCCGTAGGGGGAACTGTCAGTGCTACATATAATATAATATAATCAAATGATTCCGAATTGAAACTTTGTTTTGTAAAATGAAACAGAATTTTACAGATTTCTTGCAATTTTTTTGGTGGCCTATGTATTTTTGTCACAAATGTTGTTTTAGTTTTATTTTAGTCTTCTTTTTTTTTTGGTGTTTTCTTTGAAAAATATTCTATAGCATTGAAACCCTTCAACTTATAATAATGGAATTTTTGTGGCGATGTTGTGGGTCAAGGGAAATACATGTATTGGAGGAAAATATAAACTGTTGGGTTTTTTTTTTTGGGGGGGGGCATTCAGATATTATTTCATAAACATACAAATGGAATGGAGGTTATGATCTTGAATAAATGGAATACATTTTTCTATTCTCTTGAGTCTATATTGCCTTCAGCTACAGTGACAGTGATATATCCCAGGATTTAGTTTATTACTTGGAGAAAACAATAAAAATCAACACCTTGATAAATTCAATTTACCAAACCTCTAGGTTTGCTGACAAATGCACATGCATAGCATTTTATAACATTTGAACCATGTTATAAAAATCATTATTCCTGTTGAATGCTTTATCAAATAATTATGAAGAAAGTTCAAGCCCTAATACTAGAAACCAAATGCCCAGTGTCAAAAAGTAGTTTTATCTCAAACGACTGCAAAATATTCACAAGAAAATCAAAACTTTTCATTATGTGCAAGTGTGCAAATATTGATTATTTATTTGTTTATCAATGACTTGTTCATAATAAATTCAGACAAAAAGTCAGCATCTGCTATCAAAGAGCTGTGTTCATTATGACTGTCAGTTCAGATTACATTTTTTTTTAAAGAATTTCCTCAAGTTTGAGCTTATAACTTATGATCCCATGGCATTACCTCAGGTATTTCTGATCCTTTAATGCATTTTTCGTGTTAAAAAAAATCCAACTCAGACGACATACCCGGGGCTTTTGCGGATGACCGCGAATCCCCGCGCATTAACAGTAAAGTCTTCTTGTAGTCCGGGACCTTACACGCCAGATGGCGGCAATCGATAGATAATTATAACGATGATCCAGTGCATGATTTATCGGAGCCACTTCCTTGCCCAAAGCAGGAGTGGGGCAGTCTGATGGAGAAAAGGGGAAGACGAGAGTCTGGTCGTCTGAGCTCTAAGAAGATCGGCCAGAAACAACCAGACACCGGTGTACATGTCTGACATTTTGTTGTGTCTTGTTAGGGGAAGGGTTGCCAAGGGTCGGTTACATCAGCCCCTCCCTCCTAATGTGTTTTTTATTTAAAATTTGGTGATTTAACTGACTGTACCTTTTCACTTTTAGAAATCTTATGTCGTAATTCTGTGTGTATTTTTTTCATCTCTGCTATTTTAAGTCATGGTGATTGATGCATACATTGGTAGGCCTAGTGGGAAACACGGTGAATCAAAAATAAGTATTTGAAAGTAATTTTGCTAAAATAATTTTGTTATCCAGTTTTTTCTCCCCATTTTTATTTTGCCTGAACAAAGTTCAGGAAAGAGACCATGCAGTCACTATGTCTGTATGTATGTCCGTCCGTATACGTATGTATGTGGTATTTTGGTTAAAGTTTCAAAAAATTGGTCTCATTTGAAAAGTTGAAGTCCAATTGGAACCAAACGTGGGTCATAGATACAACATGGCAACCTTCATATAATAATGATGTCAAAGGTCACATACCAAGGTCAAAGATCATCTGAGGTGAAGTTGTAAAATAGGCTGAAAATGTAAAAGTTGTCTCATTTGAAAAGTTGAAGTCCAATTTGAACCACACTTGAATTCATAGATGTAACATGGGAACCATCACATGATCATAATGTCAAAGGTTACATACCGAGGTCAAAGGTCATCGAGGTCTAATCCTAAAGTAGGCTGAAAATGTGAAATTTCTCTCTTTTGAACGGTTTAATTCCAATTCGAACCAAAGTTGGGTCACACATGCAACATGGGAACCCTCAATGATAATGATGTCAAAGGTCACACACCATGGTCAGAAACATCATTGCAATTAAGCAGGCAAGACACCTGGGGTCAGAGTATGTGTATGTAACATTTCATAATTGGAGTAGCCTGCTTTGTCCCATTTGAGGGAAGGGAGCTGATCTGTTATAGGAATGTCAGAATTTCCTGTCTCGGACCTTGAAGTACTTGCACTTAATTAACAGTTCCCCTTTGAGAATTTAACCAATTAATTTGGTTTGGCAACTTGTTGAAAGATTGTTTGAGTTACAGCAGGGAAATTCATGGAAATTTGAGTCTCGTTTCAAACATTCTCTGTGAGTGAATAGGTTGCTTGGCCAGTATACAGTGTGTAATTAAATTTGTCAGTATTTTCACTTTAATGGGCCTATTAAGATGAATTTTTCCCCTGTTTTTCCAAGTAATGAAGTATGTGTCGAAAGTTTGAACCCTTTAGTGACGATATATGCTAGCAGGAAGAACAAACATATATGTTGTTTGCTTTTTATGTCATTTCTACTTTTTAAAGGAGGGCACAGAAATGTCCTCATAAGAAATACTCTGTTAAATACAAAATAAATATACAAACTTAACTATTCTACTCTGAGAATTGGTCACAAAATGTTGATTAATGCCGTGGAAAAAGTGTTGATCCATTTGTGATTCTGAAATGACAGTTACATACAATGTAGCTGGGAATTAACAATGTTGAAAATGGTTTGAAATAGTTTTTTTTTTTTAAATAAAAAAAAAAAAATTAAAAAATGAAACACAAGCACTTTTCAGATCATGTAAAACACTTTTTACCTTTAAGATTTATATATTTTATTTATTAAGACTTTAAGATTTATACCTGTTGTTTCTTTCCTTTGTATTTTTTTTGCTGCAGTCTATCCGTTGCACACTTCCCAACTGTTCGTGTGAGTGTTTTGCTCCGGGTAAGACTCAACTGAGAACCTGTGAGCAGTGTCGGCATGGCTGGGTCGCTCATGGTGAGTAGGAACAAACTTATTACTCAGAAGACTCTCACAAGTTCATTTCCTTAAATAAATGGAAGACAGTGCTTAGTGAATCTGGTGCCCAAGCCCTGTAAGTAATGTCTTCAGCTTATTTCTACTCGACTAACGTGATCAGTGTTTCACAGCTACTAGGTATTTGACTGCACATAGACACATTGACATTTATAGGTTTAGGTTCAGTTTCATCCAAGAGATGTCAATTCTTACAAGTTATGTTGTTTTAGAGGTAGGCTATAAAAGGTTCCTTATAGAAATTGTACCAAAGATACATGAGAAGTATTACAAGCAATCCAATTATATTTCCCATATTATGCACAGAAAGTAAGTAGTAAAGTGATCTTGTGTTTCAAAATTCCTTGATTTAAAAGCCTGTTTAATGGAAAAGAAGGAAGGGTGAACAGACATGTAGAAACAAGAAAGTTATGTGTTGTTTAATATCGATGCTCATCCATGACTGCCAAATAATGCACCAAGCAGGGATCCAAAAGTTACAGATCTAAATGTATACTATTTGTATACATGTGTACTTACATGCAATCAGGGGGTGTGCAAAATTATATTGAAATTGGAGGATTCAGGACTGTTAAGGCTAAAATTATGCCGTGTGCTCTGGATGATAGCAGGATCATAGCTTAAATTTCTGAGATAAATTGACATCACTTGCCACTGAGGCATCCCTGTATCTCCCCCTCCCTCCCTCCAACATCTCAACACCACACTACAGCCATGGATAAGCTCTCCAGCGGACACGCCTTCCCTTCCCTGCTTGTTGAGGTTGTCCATTCAGACATCGCCTTTGACATCGCTAGCTTGATGCTGTATGGGACCCAGGCCGCGCCCATACGTCTACGGATTCTCCTGGATCGGTTGTTCAGTGTTCTGAAGAGCGAGGAAGTGGATCGGATCCTACAGGGGTTGGGATGGGCTCAGGAGGACTACGCCAGAGGCTACATTCTACAGGTATGTAATGGATGCTAATCACTCTTCAGTTCCAATTACGGTATACAAGGATTTGAAACTCTTAACATTTTGGGATTTCAATACATTTCTTAATTGGAATTAAAGTTCAAGGAAGAATTCTGTTGTCAAGTTGCCTGTGGGTAAGTGGCACTTTAACTCACAGAGTTTATTTGTGTCACAACAGTATTAAAAAAAATTATTCCGAATGAACAGTTTGTTCTGTGGATTCACAGACCTGTCAAGATGTAGTTTTCTGACAGCCAAGTTTTACTTAAAATTATTTGCCTAATGGAGTCAGTTTGAGGATGCAGCATGCAGTTATCTCGGATTTCAATACTTTCCCTTGGTACCAGAATTCTTGTAAACATTTTGACTAGTATGCATAATTTTCATACAGAAATTGCTTTTTTACTGTGGATTTTCATTTTGTGCTTCATCCTCATATCATACAGGATCAAGATGGAAAGGTCTTGCAACATTGGTCTGTCGCCACGCGGGAAGAGGAACTCGTCATCCTCAATCAGTTCCTTCGTTTTGGAGAGACCAAGTCAATCGCGGAGGTAATGCTGCAAGAACTCCAGACTGGGGACTCCCAGTCAGTCCAGAAGAAGAATGAGTCTGATATACGAGCTTTCATTGAACGTATTGGTGGCAGACGCAATGCAAACAATACGTTTGATATTCCAGATGTTGAGATACTGCCATCAACGCCGTCTTCCTCAAGAACGTTGGCAAAACCACGGCAAGATAATGAGGGACTTAAACCTGGCAAGACTCAGCAGAGTGTTACTCAGAGAGAGACAAGTCAGAGCAGTACCATACCGGCTCACAATATCCATCTGGCCAACTTGGAACAAACAGTCTTGAAAGCAGGGGTGGTTCAACCTACATCACGGTCCCGCACTAGGACTGCATCCCTCAACTCTAACCTACAGACTGTGAAAAGATCACCAACAACTCAATTAAACTCAACTCAAGCTGAACGATCCACCAGTGGTTCGAGTGCTCCAACATTCTTAAGCAGCCATGTCAGTATGTTTCCGGCCACCACAAAGCGATTTTCATCGTTCTCTTTCAAAGGCCACCGGAAAATGGCACTTTCAAAAAGACGTAACTGGACCCCATTCTCTTCACTCGCCAACAGCAAACAGGTGAAATGTAACACTTGTAATAAGTGGTTTTACGACAAAGGAACATGGAAGATCCACTTTGGAGCAGTTCACTTAAAGGTGAAATACAGGTGCAAAGTGGAGGGATGCAATATGGCATTTAGCTCATTGCGTAGTCGCAACCGTCATAGTTCTAACCCCAATCCCCGGATTCACAGATTTGTTCACAACAGTCGCCGCGGTAATAAACGTAGAGGCGGCCTTCAGAGGGAGGACCTACAGCTGCAGGATAGAGGCCAGGATGAGCAAGGAAATGGCATTGGTGAGGAGGATGTTACCATGGTAACAGATGATGTAACCATCCTGTCTGAGGAAGCAAACAAGACAGCCACTGTGGATGATGGTGACAACATTTTAGTTGGTGAGGAAGGTGAAGCAAACGGTGAAGGTGAAGGGGAAGGGAACTGTGCTACTGATGTTGCTTTTTTGTCACCCAACAACTCGGCCTCTCAAGCGACTAGTCCAGATGAAACCACCAAGCATCAGAATTCTTCAGATGATAACTTAGTCATGGATCTTGTCAAGGAGGAAGTGGAAGATAGCACTGTGAAATCTAATCTCATGGAAACCCAGCCTGTCCCAGAGCCTTCACAGCCAAGCAGGGGCTCACCGTCATTCACTGTGCATCACTTCAAGAAACGTAAAAGCAATGCTCCCAGGAAAGTCACCATCCTGAAACAAGAAGAGGATGAGGACTGCCAAGTGGAGGGTGTGATATTTAAAACAGAAGACACAGAGGCACAAAATGAGGACATGCAAGATGCTGAAGAGGAAGAGACGGGGATAGACTTGGAGGAGATTGCTGAGTACCAAACCACTTCTCCTCAAGAAGATCGTGATCCTCCCTCAAATGAGTATCATTATGTCCCAACTGGTGCCTTCAGTCAAAAAGGACAAACATCATCTGGGGGAGTGTCAATCATTCGATCTCAGAACATTGAAAACATGCACTTGGAGCAAGATAGCATTCGCAATCAGGTTGCAGAACAGCTTGGGATTGGAATAGATACTTGCTATTTTATAAATGATGAGGGCCTTCCTTCTTGTTATCTCTGCAGCAAAACCTTCCAGAGCAAACAGACAGTCAAGGTTCATTATCAGAATGTCCATTTAAAGCTCATGCATGCTTGTACAATCGAGGGATGCAACGCCATGTTCCCCTCCAGACGAAGCCGAGACCGCCACAGCACCAACTTCAATCTCCACCGCAAGCTTTTCGAGAAGGGGGTTCCTCTAAAGGACAGCTATGATCAAACCCAGCCTCTGAATCAGACCTATTGCCCACCTATGGGGAATGCCCCGGACCTGGCCCAGAGCTCTAACCACAGCCTGTCTGATTCCAACAGCACAAATTCATCTGAGGGAGTCAGAAATCGTCACAAGCAACTCAGACTAGATACCAGTCTGAATGTGGAGAACATTGATAACAGTATTCTTGAACCATCGCCCAACGAAATTGATCTCCAGCTGACAAGACAGGAGCTTCCCTCCTCCACCAAGCATCGGTACACCATGCAAGATAGCAATCCCACATCTTCCTCATTCAGCGCTTCCACCCCACAGCAACGCTACATCATGCAAGTGGATCAAAACGGACTGTCCCCTCTCGCTTACAACCACACTTATAATTCGCCCAGTGCGGCACCTGCCACATCCCCAAAAGATCTCTACCCCGTGAAATTTGTAGGCAACCTGATCTGTAACATCTGCAAGAAGGCCTACAGTACCAAAGACACGCTGCGGACTCACTACAAGAACATCCACCTCAGAGAGATGCATAAATGCACTGTTCAGGGTTGTAATCTCATGTTTTCGTCAGTCCGTAGCAGGAACAGACACAGTCAGAATCCAAATTTGCACAGACATTGTGTCGGTTCAGATGATAACCCTGGCGAAACTGATCATGTAGATTTGGGTAACAATTGAGTTATAAATGCAGAATATGCTTGGCTACTTGTATGATATGTGCTAGACCAAAGGAAAGGTTTATACAGTCGCACTTAATATTTTGGGGCTTACCGAATTTAGAAGATACATGTACTCAACTAAAAATAACTTCACAAGCACAGGTATGCATTAAGCCATTCGTACATACATTTAATTCTGCTTTTTAAAGCCAGTACAGTGACAGAATGTATATACATTGACAGAATGCAAATGTAATAATCTATTACTTTTAATGTCAAATTGTGTTAGATCGCTCCACCTATGGGCTCCGTGCACAAGTACCCCTTCAACGCCCAGAAAAGGAGAGTTGGGGGTGACCTAGACTGGTTCCCGGTCAATCCACCGTGTATTTCGAATGATCCAAAGTTGTTTGGGGCGGGGATTAGTCTGCGAGACCATCGCAAGTTGAATTCGAACGTATTCGTATCAGACGATGCCTGACGCTCACGCGCGAAGACGCTATGGCTTAGCTTTGTGCACATTCGGGATAAATAAGTCGTGCTTACTTCTCACGCGAACCAGTCCCGTACACACACGCGGTGTCCCGTCCAAAGGGCTCTAAAAAGTGGTGAAAATGCGCCCTCTTTTGTTGGTGCACGGAACCCATAAAGCATACGATGAGCACGTGAGGAAATAAATTAAAGTTCCACGATAAGTAGCAGACAAGGTGATAAGCCCATTGCATCACATAATAGTTGCAGAGAATTGAAGGTATTAGTTTGAACACAGTGGTCATAACTTCACTGCGTGAAGATTCCAGGACAATAGTTCAAAATCCTGCGACAAAATTACCAATACAATTAGGCTACTGAGGATAAACTTGTCTGCAACTTATCCTGTTTGTTGAAAATGATGTATTCAGGTAGACGCTCGGACATATGTATTCATTTCAAAGCAACGAATATATGTATATCAAATTATCAACTCTATTCATTTTATCACATTGTCATTGCCAATGTGCATTGTAAGTGCACAATCTCTACATTTAGTCTCACTAAAAGACAAGCTAGGCATGCATTTTAACCATACAGGGTGAGTCAAAAAACACGAAACCCAAATGTCGGGACCGTTGTTTTAATGAAGTTCTGTATGTATCACTTTCAAAATGTAGGATATGAAAGCCCAATTCATAAGTTTTCTTTTAGTACAAGAATCATTCAAATCACCCATGTACTTTTCAAGAAACGGAGTTTTAAACACAACTACCATTTTAAAGTTCTGTCCACGAATCACAAGAAGGTAAGTGTTCTTTCACTTTTTTTTTCAGCAAAACGAAAACAAATCACATAGGGATGTGTGTGAGTTGGTTTCGTTTTGCTGAAAGAGCGCACACCTTTTTTTGTGATCCGTGGACAGAACTTTAAAACGGTGGTTGTGTTTAAAATTCCGTAACTTGAAAAGTACATGAGTGATTTGAATAATTCTTGTACTCAAAGAAAGCTTATGAATTGGGCTTTCATACCCTAGATTTTGAAAGTGCTACGTGCAGAACTTCACTTAAATAACAGTCCCGACATTTGGGTTTCGCTTTTTTTGACTCGCCCTGTTTATGCTTTAAAGTTGTTCAATTACATGTAATGTGACTTCTCCACCCACTTGTCCCTCCGCGTGCAATTTTCCCGCAAGTGTTGCACTACATGAGGGTTTTCGTGCAGCAAACTCAATTTAAATTCAAATTCTTTCACAGGATGTACCCTGTAGAAATAGAACAGAGTAAAAAAATATCAAAAACTCAGAACGCTCATTGTTTTGGTATTTAGGGGAGAGATTTCAAAATAGCTTAAATATCTTCAGGGGTAGGGCCAGAATAATATTCTGATTTCTACAGAGAATAGGACAGAGGAGAAAGAAATCTGTGTTTTTTCTTCTCGGGCAGCAATAGGCCCTTAAATAATGTCAAAAAATATTGTGGTATCATGAAATGTGCGATGTCCCTTCTGATTTGAAGTGGTAAGGATAAATTCCAGTGTAATTTACCCCATATCTTGCCATCAGAAGAAACAGATTATATTCCCATCTGCCTTGTTATGTGTGGGATGAAATACCATAAAGCATTTGGACTAGAGTTTGAAGGGGAAAAAATAAGGGGGGGGGGGTTGGCATCATTATTTATAGTCTCCTGTTCATTAGCTTCAGACAAATGTGCAACTTTGAAATGCCATTTTAATATTGTATTCATTTTTCGACAAAATGAGAGAAACTTTGAATTTGTAGTGAAGAGTAAATTAATGCCCCCCATTTCTTTCTCTCATCATTTGTGATGATGCAGTTAGATGGGTCTGCAATGAAAGTAAGGAAGGATTCTCTAGAACACCACTGCATATTTTGTATGTTCATGTGCGAGATAAAACAGATGGATCTTCGTTTCGATCTGTTGCTCAGATTTTCAGTCTTAAAATGAACACAGAATTGAGACCGCCATTTTGACAATAGCAATTGCTATGCGCATTTATATTGAAAGGCGTATCAATTTACGCCTAACATAAAAAGACCAAATAAACTCCCCAACCACCGTAGCCACAACATGTTATCAACTTTGGGATTCTCCTGTTGTGAGTTTGTGATAACCTGATTATAACCTTCAAAAAGTGAGAATGAAGTAGAAAAGTAATTTGTTGAATGAAATGGAAAAAGATCTTTCTATTTTAATGAAATACAAATTGTATCAATAATACTAATTAATGACAGCAATGAATTTCGAAAAGGTGATTATCCTGCATCAGAGTTGATTGAAAAACAGTAATTTATGTGGGAAAAGAAACCAAAATTTACTTTTAAATGCAGCTGATTTTTAATTTTTTTTGCTTACTCCATAGAAAGTCAATTAGTCAATTTTTATGTAGTTCGCTTGACCCCAACAAAATTGGCAAATGTTTTCAGCATTTCAGTTTTTAAAAAGTGAACATCAAAAAGTAACTTAAAAAAAAAGAAACTGTTGATATGATGGGTTTTTTATTGTCAAATTTACAAACAGTCATGTGGTGTAGGCTAATTGGTATACACTAATTTTGATTAGGAATTTTTAAAAAAGTTTGACAAAAAGCATGAACATATTTTGGGCAGTTTATGGTATCATGTAAAAGATATTAGCTGAGTAATTGTTATGTATGTAATTCAAGAAAACCAAACACATTCAACTGTTATTCGTGTAGCATGAATTTTTGTAACGTGGACAGACTGCAATACTCTTGTCCTTTAAAATCTCAGTATTTTATACATTTTTTCATGTTATTTTGCTAACTCTGCTTTAGAACTTTCAGGAATATTTAACGGGTACACCGCATGTACAGTAGCTTTTTTATTTTTTTTTTATTTTTTTTTTGGTCTTTAGTTTTTATAAACTTATTTTAAATTGTACATGTAACAAAGTAACAAGCAATTTCTATATCTGTTTTAATATTTTGATCTTTTATTTGCTGACTACAGTACATAAAAACCCATAGACCATGAAGTAATGGGATGTATTCAGTCCTATGTAACCTTTTTTTTTTTTTGCATATATCCACGTAAATAGTCTGCCTGGTGTTCTTCGTATCTGAAAATGCTGAAAATAAAATTTGGTTACCCTGCAAATACGTCATAGATGTCTTCACTAACTTGATATTGACCAATTTAAATGATGCCCAGGGTTTTTATGCTGGTTAAAGTTAGAGGATATCATTTGTGCATTTTGTTGTTGTTAGAAGCAACAAAAGTGCTCAAAATCTAAAGACGGATGCTTAACAACTAACTTGATGAAGTTTTAGCTGAGTGAGTGCTGTATATTCCGAGAAAACAATATTCTAGGTTCTTGATTTCAATTCAAAAGTTACTGAGTCATGTTTTGAATTTGGCCAGAAATCAGCGTCTGGGACACGTTCTCATTCAGTGTTCTCATTCTCATTCAGCAGCTACGGGATGTCACGCACTGAACCAACAAATTACAGCAGCCGCGCTGGCATATGCATTGTGTCAACGCTACCTATGCACGGCTTCACCAAATTAATAACACTACTACTAACAGAAATATCCAAAAAAGTGTCTTTAGACGCATATTACTAAATGACCTTCTTTTGTTGTTTTTAAAAATGACAGCATGCCAGGAATAATAATTTCACAGGGAGTTCAGTGCCATTACATGTACTATCTTTAAATCAAGTATCTTTTCCAACAATAATTTCGTCACTTTTTGGATAGCTGCAAATGATATACTCTATCTTTAAGTGAAGCTCTGAGGATTGGTTTTTGTACCGCTCCCCCTAAAAAAAGAAAAAAAGTTGTAGAATTTTCACACACCCTTGCCCTCCCTCAAGCCAAAAACAAAACTTGGTTCCCAAAATTGGTTAACCCACTGACTTTCAGCTCCCAAAAGTTTGGAAAGTTAGCTTGTACATTGTTTAGGGATAGAGAGATAGCAGGGGGGGGGGGGATACCTTCATATTACCCTTGCGTTATGTTTTAATTCTCCTATTCGTGTTTTGTCGTTCTTTCTCATTTGGCTTGGACTTTGGGATCCGCTAGTGCCTCTCACTAATCAAGCATGTCCGAGATTACCAGGGTGTAACAAGAACGTGTTTCCTCTCCGATTGTTGGCTGCTTTCTGTTCCATTGGGGGTATGTTCATCAGGACAAGGTGGTATTCAGTTAATTTATGGGGAGTTGGGGAGGGGGTTAAATCGACCAAACCTCCTGATATCAGTCCTGACAAGTGTTCATCATCTGTGTCCGTTTCCACGTCACGCCACGATTGACATTTCCACGCCGTCAAAAAACTTGTAAACCTAGCTAGCGTTTCAAAGTAAGAGCTCTTTTTTTTTTCGTTCCCAGCCAGGCAGCTATTTCAGATCTGCAGCCGACAGAAATGGAAACATCTGTTGCGTTTAATTGTTTTACCTGAAATGGCTAGGAAATCTCATTTGCGATAAGTATTTTTGGATGATCAGCAGAGCTCCCTTGCGTGCGGTTAGTTTTATTGACTAGTCTCTTAAAATAGGCATGACATTTGTATTTTCCTCACAACCCAAATGCATTAGTGGGTTTAAAAAAAAAAAATCATCGAGTGTGCTTATGATTATGGACTTGCGTGTACAATTTAGTATCCGGAAATATTGCATAATTGTGGGATTGCCTTGGCAGGAATTGATTTTAATGACCTAAAAGGGAAAAAACAAATGTAGAAGTGAGCAAATTGAACAGGAAAAAGGTAAAAATAAAAATGTGTTTAATATTATCATGGTTTATAGTCAGATGGTGTATATTCTGGGTTTTCTTGGCACAGGGCCAAGAATCAGATTTTTAATTTGCTTTCCCTCAATTGGATGAATTCCTTGGATGGGATGCCAGTCACACTCAACCTTCTCCCTAGCTAATGACAGTCCCCACTATACACTGCTGGGTGGAGAGAGGCTAGTAGGGGTGAAGTGGCTTGCCCAAGGACACAACACATTGTCCTACTCCAGAATCTAGATCTGAACCTGTGATACTCTAATGAGTAATGAATGCAAAATTAAAATGGCAATCCTTGATTTTTCAAACAAGAAATATAAATTTTGAAAGGGCCCCAAGACAGGTTCTAGGCTGAACATAAGCCCATTTCCCAATGTTATTATTTATAAACTCCATGCTTAAAAACTTTTGCTAAATGGAATCTGCTCCCACCCCCAACCCCACCCCTCCCAATCGTTGCTAAAAAAAAAAAAGGTTTGGAGCGTTATGTTAAAAAAACACCCATAATCTGCATATTTAGAACCTCTTTCAACTCCCTTCTCTCCACAGACAGTGTAGAAATTGACCCCAATTCTTGTGAATTAAAATTATTCTCTCTGCCCTCAAAAACTAACTATAGTGAAATCTCAATAAGTCAGACCGCAAGGGAACAGGTTCAAAATTTGACTTAAGCAGAGTTTTGAGGTAAGCAGGGTTGTATATCATTGTTATACTACTGAAGGGAATGGGTTCTTTGTTTGACTTAACAATTGTTTTGAGTTATCAGAGTTTGACTTATCGAGATTTCACTGTATTAAAAATGACATAAATACTACAGTTACTGTCAAGTTCTTAAAATTTTGAATATGTGGCATCATTGGATGAAAACATTTT